CCAGGCGCTGGAGAAGTGGTTGGACTTGGCCATCCGGCCGGACGGCAGCGGTTGGCCAGAGGAGCCACAAGTGATTCTGTTGGCGATGTGGGAGATGGAGTTGGGAGATGGAGTTGGGGAGATGACTCTGTGATTTGTGGGAGATGGAGTTGGGAGTTGGGGAGACTTGTTTTGAGAGAATGACCTAGTGCTGCCGCAGACGAACGTCGTTGGCCGGCGCAAGAGGAAATGAAAGAGAAGAATCATGAATGATCCAGTTGTACGAGCTCAGTTGAACTCATATTGAGAGAATGCCTCTTTTGTTTCCAAGACCCGGCTGTACTCAGGAGGCTGACTTGCTCCAGCACGAGACGGACGACGTTCCAGCGCTGAAAGCGCTCTTGGACCAGGTGCAGAACGAGCTACTCGCTGATCATTGGAGGCTTCTGATGAGAAACCGTTCCTAAGTGGCTGAAACATGTGTGGCTGATTGAGTCTGGTCCACTTGGTGAAATTGGCTGAGCGGGCCAGACCTGAGCCGTCTTTAGCTTAGCTATGCTTAGCTCAATCAGACCCCGGGGCCCAACACCAGGAGATAGACCGAGAAGACCTAAGTGCCAGCGACGAAGACCGAGTTTCGAAGGTTACACCGCCCGAGCGAAGCTGTTTTTCCTCGTTGTATGAGTGGGACCAGTCATCCACGTAGAGCCGCCCATGAAAGACCTAGTAGGACGAGGTGAAACACTGTTGTGCCATGCTGTTCTTTTAGACGTTGACCGGTACACACCTGTATGTACCCGAGTATTCACGCAGAAGCCTGACAACGAAGAACATGCGCCAAGGCGGGCCCCACAGGCTCAGCACAGGCTGCTTTGAATTCGACCTGGAAGGTATCTATCAAACACCAGGACTTTCAAGAGCTTTCAGATGTTCTAGAATCTATATATTATACATACCAAGACAGCATGGATTGTTTGCCAAAACGTTACAATAAGCTATGCCCAAAAAAGAGATAAAAGAGAATCCTCCAGATCTGTGAGGCTTTGGTCCACTTTGCCCATGGACTTCGACGATGATCACCTTGAAGCGCGAGACTCGCGGCTAGGTGGGGTCTGAGAAGAGACATCCCAGACGCCAAGACATCGGGAAACTTGAAACAGAAGTGAACTGGGATTATTTTATAACCCTAGTTAGGTGGGGAGTAAGGATGTTAGTACTATGTTAGTACATGTTAGTGTTAGCTATATTAATTGTTTATTGCACATTGCAAAATAATACATATATAATCATACCTGTTAGATAATCCATATTAAAATCCTAGGGGTCAACCCCGGCCAAAATAGTTTATCGTTTTCCTGAAAACCACCTGCGTCCAGGAGAATAATCCGACGCGAAAAACTAGCAACAAAGAAAAGCTCAACCTTGGAACCAGATTTAACAAAAATGTTAGAACAACATACCAGCAAAATTGATGACCACATGGTATGTTAGGCCAGGAATTTAGTAATGCATGTTTTTCCCTGCCTGTCATTGGTTACACAGGGTCACTGTATGATTTTAATATACTACCCATCGAGTAACTAAGGAGGTAACCGAGGCACATGCCAATGTTAGCATCCTTACTCCTGTTTTGAGTTGACGTGGTTTGAATGATGCTGCCCGTGGCCAGCTGCATCATTAGCAGTTTGTTGCTTGAAACACATATATTTATATATATTGTATATATATATATATATATCAAATATATTTGTTCTTTTGAGTGAAAAGAGACACACCGGATGTTTTTCATTGACCGAGGACCCATAGTAGGATTTATATAAATAAGCCTATTATTTTGGTATCAGATGCGATCATCAAGGGGTGGGAAAGGATTATACTAAAGCGTCGGCCCGAGGATTTTAACACGACGGAATCTCAGTCAAAAAAACTTAGCGTCGACCTTATCTTGGAACAAAAACATATGAAATGACGTCAGCCCGGAAGGATTTTAACTACAGTTGTTCAATTAAAGTCCTGAGTCCAACGATTTTGGCATTATTCAGCGGGTATACAATCATATATATGTTTGAAGAATTGTGAAAGACACTTATTGATAGCATATTGAACATGTTTAAGGATCCGAGGTGTTTAAGGAGGTAGGAGGCAGGAGCTCATACAAGCATCAGTGCGACCAATGCCTCAGCAAAGAAGCGGGAGGTGCCATGGATAATATCACTTGTTGAAGAAACATGGGAGTGGAATCCTGTCTCATTTTTATACCACGCAATCTTTGTTCAACTTCAACAGAGTCCTTTGCCAAGTCTTTGACTGCTGATACATCCGGGACAGGTGTGGAAGCAGGGCTGGGCCTTTTTGCCACCCGAGATTGGCCAAACAACCGGCTGGTGGCACACTATGGAGGCGTGGCAAGCGGTCGTGTTGGGGGGCTGCAGTTCAGCACATGTTTCTGGAGTCTTCAAATGTTTCTGAGGAGTTCTCCAATTGGCGTTCACTGGTGGAGTTCTCAAACATTTTTAGGGCCATGCAGGATAAAGAATCAGCTGGGAGGCGTTTTCTCTTTTTCCAGAGCCTACGATCGTCTTTCTTCATTGTCCCCCCACTGCCGTCACCGCCGTGCGCTGCGTCGAATGTCGCGACAAGCCATTGTGTTTTTTTCACCAATGCCGACAGGAAACATCCATACGCTGAAGTCCTCGATGAAGCTTCAGGACTCCGATCGCAGAACGCGCTCGGCCGCGGAACGTCCTCGGCCATTCGGTCGTCGAGGACGGGCGGTCTTGTGCTTGTGCTTTGGAAGTCGATGTCAGCAGCCTGTTTGGTGAATATGGGTGTGAATAGGTTTTGAGATGCTGAGAGGTCAAATAGTATTTGATATTGTCAATGTTGTCAAAGTGTTTCAATCATGCTCACAAGAGGGTGGAGACACCGATAGGGGCGAAGAATGCCTGATTTGTAGAGTGTTGATTTTTTCTTGCTAACATTGCGACATCTGCAGTGTGCCCAGTTGCCCCCCAAGGTTTTAGAGCAAATGTAACTTTGGTCTTGCAAGGCTGGTTCAGGAATATACATGAAGCAGATTGAACTGTCGCGTGTTTTTGACAGGTGATCAGATACCAGTTGGGAAGGTTGCCCGTCAAATTCTGCGTTGTTTCTGCCTGAGAGGACCAGGAGTATGTGATGCGCTTGGGTTCTTCCGCCGCTGGTGACGAGATTGCTGGCAGCGCATTGTATGTGGATGCGGGTCCGCATTTGGCGGTGAAGGGCAGGTACATCAACGATTGCAGCAGCTCGGTCTGGCCATTGGGGCTTTTGCAAAGGCTTTGCCCCTTGAATACTCAGACTCGAAGAGTAGGAGTAGAACTGACCAGGCACTGACTCCTGGTAGGACTTGTCAAGCGTGGCGGGGTTAACTCTTGAGGGCCGGTCCAGGTCGTTGACTCGTAGCGTAGCGATCGCATGCGACGAGGGGCTTCACTCGTACGGGCCGGAGGGTGGAGGACTGAACCAGGGTGTGTGGAATGCGCCGAGTGCCGAATGGAACGCTCTCCCACACCGCCCAGTTGCCACCCAGCTGCTCTGGAAGCCCCCTTTTACAGGCAGGTGGGTTGGCAAACATCGGTGCACCTTTCAGGGGGTCGATGTCCAAAGGTGCCATATGACTCCTCAACCCCAGAGATGGTCATATCATATATAATCATATCATATATATATGGCACAAAAGGCAGGTGGTCAACCCCAGAGTTTGGGTGCTAAAGGTCCCAGAGATGGGGCCGTTTGCCATTCCAACCACCCTTCGACACTTGGTAAACATCGTCTCCTTGAGGCAGTAGCCCTGGACCCAATCTTCTGAAGTCCAGACTTCGCACGGAGGAAACCCCGAGGGCTACAACTTGCGACTGGTGTGCTGCCCGGAAAAGCACCTCGCGGAGCTCTTCAGCACCCGCCACATTCAGGACCGGCCCTCGAGAGGAGGGGATGGCATTGGTCCAGCTGTTTTCTTCTGCCTGCATGGCCAGATGTGGAGAAAAATAGGTCCGGCTCCCCCCAAAAGCACTTGCGATAGTGGAAATTAGGGCCTAGGATCACAAGTCATTGTAAGTTTGGAGTAGAACGGGGCCTGTAGAAATGTTAATTAAGCCTTCATTCACTCAGGTAGCCTTCAAGTTTGCAGAAGATCTAGTTGGAGAGCTTGGAATTCAAGGTGGTATTGATAGAAGAAACCTTTGCTGAGGTTGAAACCATTTCGGACTTTTTGCCATGGACTTTGAAAGAAATGGTCTGATGCTGCACCATGAACACCGTGGGGCAGATGTTGCACTGGTACCGCCCATGCGGAAGATGCATGGCCAAACCCCCAAGATGAGAAGCATAAGAAGCGAAGTTGCGGTCATGCGGTGACATCACGATAAACAACGGTGCACGGGTTTCAGTAAATTGTCAACGTAAGTTACTGTCCCATGGCCTAAATGTCAGACCCTACAACAAGTTCGCACCACAAGCTCGGGGTTCTCAAACGGCACGACTACTGAGTCATTTATGGAACTCATGCAGTGAGGAGATTCTGTGTATCCTGTGGTGAAGTACACATCAGCCAGGCACCGGCACCTGTTCCTCTATAGGACTGCACGGAGGGTGAGGACACCCCGCTGACGGCAGCTCGCCGGAATGGCCATGTCGCCTTCTCGCAGGCGGGAGAGGAGCTCTTCTTCAACTATGGCGATCGCTACTGGGAGGACCGTGGCACAGTGTGCCAAGTGCTCGGGGAGAAAAGGATGCCTGGCGCAGTGCGTGTTGAATATGTTATTACATGTTATTTGTCATTACTAATTATCACTCATCACTTGGACCCCTCTCCTCCCTCCGTAGAGAAAACGCGGCTCATTTTTTTGTGGCAGTTAGCGGCCAGAGGATGCTAGATTGTAAAACTTTGGTAGGCGAGTTCGGTGTTCTTAGTACATGTTAATAGATGCTCCTGTTGCCTTCATATTGTCAGATAGGTTTTCTCATTGAGTGCAAGAATCCTTTGAATGCCTTTGCGATGAAGCCACGATGGCCCAATCAACTCAAAGTTGCTTGATTTTCGACTTCATGGAAACCAAAATTCGATGACACCTTTGGGTGTCGCTCTCGCTTGTGTATGTCATTTCATTCTAATTTGCTATGTATTCGCAGCAAGGCCAAGTGTAACTTGGCTGCCTTATGTTCCTGTGCGAAGGATCCATCAACCCTATGGCTCGACGAAGAAATATTTGCTTTTTCCAGCAGAGTGGACATATGTGGACACTCTTTTTGTAAGATTTGACACGCTAAAGTTTATGTTAGTCAGGTTTTTGGGCGAAGTCGAACCCATTAATATAAACATCACAATTCCTACAGTTGGTGAAAGATATCCGTCCTACCCCGCCTGGAACCTCCAATCATGTTAAAACAAGATAGTAATAGTTGGTGGAGGAAATCCCAATTACTTCTACTTCATTTGGAACCTCAGAATCTCAGATAGGATTTGTTCCACTGCAGCGCTTCAGCGCCAAGGTATTTCAATCAGTGTTGCTCACAGAGGATCCAGCCGCAACGAATGGATCACAGGACCGGGGACCTGGACGTGATTCGCTTGGCACACTAATTACATCTTTGGGTCATTTTGATATACCTAGAAGTGAGTTTGGAATAACCCCACTTGCGCGAGAATGTTCCTACCTTAGGGAAGAAAGCACCTCTATAGGGATTCCGGGCGTGGAAAGTTGCAAGCATCCTATAGACTATAGAAAGCGTCCTTCCGGGTGTTTGGTGAATCTTGATGCCTCCAGCAGAGCACACATAGATCTCGTCCATGGGAAGCGTGCATCCTTAGCAGTTTCGGACGTGTCGGATTTGCAGGATGAGGATTTGGAAGATCTCAGCAAACTGGTTGGACATGAAGATGCACCTTGAAAGGAAGCAGTGTGGAATCGGTGTGTGTCTACTGTCGTATACATCATATGACAAGCAAACAGGCGAAATAGGCTAGTAGTTTGCATGGTGCGTGACTTTTGAACTGTGAGCATTTTAAAGCAAAGGGCCAGGAACTTATATGGGGAAATGTTGTGCATCGGAAGAGTCATTCATCTCCCAAGCAGCCTCATGGTGTTTTGCTACATGCATCAAACAGCCTGGCTTTGGCTTTGCAGCCGGTGCCAAGGATTCGCCATATTACAAATTTGAAGAACCTTTTCCGATGGTGGCTGGACGACCACGGGCAGAGGCAGCTAAGTCAACATGTTCGAATCGCTGGCCAGATCAATGTGTTGCTACAGATGTCGGCAGCCTTCAAGTGCTTTTTACGTAATTCAACCTCTTCAACCAAGTCGTTGAGGACACAAAAAGATGTCATGTCTTGAATACACTTGAAGCATTTCAGTGTTCAGATCGAGATGCATTACTGTAAGCTGGCTGTTCATGGCATGAATGTATGACCACCTACATGCTGAATCACTTCCTTACACTGAGCCCTAAGAAGGACAAAGAGCCTTTGCTTGGAAAGATGCAAAAGTCGCGGCCAATGAATGAGGACCAGTCGCAGTTTTTCGGGGCTGATGTGTGGGCAAAGTTTGGCGAAAAGCTATATAAGTCCCATTGTCACGTGCCAGTGTCCAGAGGATATGCTTTTGCTATTTTTTTGCTTCAGGTACATATAAATATATATAAAGAGAGAGAGGATTCTATATAGAAAGGATAGACCCTCAGTCTGTATCAGCCTATAGCGGGGACAGCTGTTGATTGACGAGACTTGGAATTGACCTCCATCGATGAAATCGTCGGTGAATGTTAAAGTGCTCAAGGACTTGCGACACAATGACCTTGAAGAACCTTCTGCAGAATCAGTCGGACGGCCACTGGCGGAGGTGCTGGATTCGGCCATACAGCCAACATCTTAATGTGCGAAATTAATTGAACCGGTTTTTGAATCACCTGAACATGTATCTTATCCGGAATGCGGCCAGACGAAAAATATGTGTGTTTGACAAGAGGGACCACTTGCCACTTCAAAAATGAAGTCAGAGTCAATTTTGGCATTAATTCACCGTAAGACGGCATGATCATGTGTTTCCATGAGAAGCGAAAGCTAATGTTCTCAAGTTTTGAACCCTTTTTGCAGGACAAAGTGCCTCCGTCTATGACTATGCAAGGGAAGGCGCAGGCAATGAATGATGAGAAGGTGCGACTTGGGGAAGCCTTGCAAGGAGAAAGAATACATGGGAAACGCAGGAAGTGAGGGCAAGCTTTAAGTTCTAAACCAAGCACTTTCTAGTCTGACAGCTCCGGAAGCACTCAAGGCCTTGGTTGTGCACGCCCAAAAGTTTGGTACAGAGATCCTGCTGGAAAGTCATTCCTTCCTTAGGAGACCAGAATCAGCAGGATTCAACAGGATCACCGGTAGAGTGCACAATTTGAAGTGCATAAAGCTTCAATCAGTTTATGTTCTCATGATTACTCATTCAGCCCCAATGTTTTTACAGGTTGGTGATTCAGCAAATTCGCTGATGAAACCTGACACACTGCCAGCTAACCCTGGAATGTCCCTTAATGAACACCCAGCCTCCACTACTAAAGTTATTCTTGGTTGTCAGGTTCGGTTCCAAAAATATAAGCGACTCCGTGTCTCAAAATCACGTCAGCCTGCTGGTGGTGTTACTTTTTGGCAGATGCCATTTTTGGTGAGTTGGTAATGCAAAAGATGCAATGTAAAGTTGTTGTCTTTACTGGCGTTTGTTTTCCCTTCTCAGGTACTGCATGCATGTTCCACCTAAGTTCTCCCAACCAGCCAAAGACACTCAATTCATCTTCGCCGCTCCGGAGGAAGCGAGGAAGATTGGCAGCTGCCAGGAGGGCATGCTAAAATTGGATGGAGCACAGTACCATGTACCAGAGGCGCCGACCTTTGGAGAAAGGGAGCGAGAGGCAGAGAGCGAGAGACGGGCGCCGCTAGGGGGAGGGAAGAGAATGGTCCGGCTCTGCCCGGCAGAGTGTGGGCGTGGCACGGTCAAGAAAAGCGGCCACCAACTTGCTACCTTGTCACCCTTGGAGGCTCCACTCCTCACATGGTTTGTATGTTCAGTCTGCGTGGCAGGAAGGAGCTGATTTCGGAGAGAGCTGCACACTGAAAGGAGCAGCTGGCACCAGGAGATGTTTTTCTTGATATCGGATCTTGGGATTGGTGAGGTGGATGCTAAGAAATGCTGATATGCCATGATATACTGATAGTTTAAACTGTCGTTTATGTATTTATCATGATGCGTGCGGGAACCATGTTTCCTGGACAGGCATGTGCTATATGGACACCAAAGTTTTTTGAAGTTTGTTGTCATGTCATCGTAAGCCGTAAGCCCACTTCGACTAGAGTCCAAGCAGCCTGCTTTGAGTGGATGTTCAATATACTGGACTTGTGACTCATTCTTCCCAACCTCACCTCCTGGCCTTGCTCGAATCTTTCCTTCGTCGCCTGTCGCCAGGATTCAGTTGGATGGCCCCATTGTGGGCCAGAATCTCACCCTCGATGGCAACCTGGAGTTCCTTGGAGGTCTCAGCCCGCCGAAAATATCCACTGAGGCGGTGATCATGTTCTCATTCCAACGTTCCGTGCTACACTGGTTGCCCCATCTTGCACCAGTCAGCACCGTTGATTTTGTAGGTGGGCGGGTCACGCGGCTAGACCTGACTTGATTTTTATGACGATGCCAACCGAGTCTATACACTTGCTGCTACAACTGCAACGTTCAGCTTGTTTGCTGTAGAAAACTGATGTGTAACCACGCAGAACGCACAGCAAACTAGAACTTCAAAAGAAGAGTCTTCCGCCCAGATAGCTTGCTGAGTATGAGGTTGTATGCCACGAGACCATTCGACAAGGCGCGGAGAGATTGTAAAATATGTCATGTGAGCAGATGGCTCAATCTGTCAGATCAGGTTTCACATAAGTTCACCCTCTAACTTCCATGAATTAACGTGAGATTTGCACAAGCCTTTTACATCCTAGTAAATATATGGAGTTACTGATGGAGTGTTTGATAATGGTAAAATATAGTAAATATATGTAAAGATATGAGCTCGTTTGAGTACATCTATTTGGGCGCCACGCGCGGGAAACCTGGCTGATTGCCAAGCAAGATTTGACAGCTCCAGCTTCACGGTGTCCTTTTGTGTGTGTGTGTGTCGCCCTCCGTCTCCAGGAGGTTAAATGTTCCTTTTGTTCCCACAAAGCAGGGGCGTGCAGCATTTGAGGTCCACTGCACGCAACGAAGCTAAGACCACACACAGATGGGGAGGGATCAAGGACGCTTGATCCTGTACCTGCTCGACAACACATTGACTTCAATGGTACTCCCTCCACTGTCCTTTGTTTACATGGTGGTTTTGCATGATATTTCCCCAAACGTTTTCCCGCTGATTGCAGCCGCGCCACCGCCGTTTTCTGCGAGTTTGCAACACGTGTTCAACATTTCAATTGCGCTGACTTTGCACCTTGCCGTTCCATCGTTCATTTCCTCGTGGATTATCTTACTGAATGAAACTTTGACTGAGTGTGTGTATCCGTTTTTGCCATTTTCAGAGCAAGTTGTCATTTACGTAGCTTGACCAGCCTGCGTTTGACAGTCCAAAAAGTCGCTCGATTTATGCAGTTCTTTTCATACCATCATAGGATATAGGTGTCTATAAAACCCTGTAAATGCTGGTCCAGAGGTGAACAAAAGCCGCTGTCCAGCAAGGTATCTTTGGACCAAAGGTTTGCAGTACTGATGATGTTCTGAGTGTGGGGTTGTGGAAGACAAGCAGGGTGAGACTGGGACTGATCATGGTGCGACCAAGGCGTGCCTTGTCTTGAGTGACACCCTCTCTGTGTTGGGCACCGTGGTCATTCAGAACTGCTCCAACTCGGACGAGAAGGAGAACACGGTTTCCCAGCGCATTCATGAAGCACTGTTTCTAAGGATGTGGCAGATTATGGAAAAGGTGTGTGAAACAAGAAACATGACACCCATCAGTGATCAAACTCACATCGACTTGCTTCTCTTCCCTGAGCACAGGAGAATGGCGGTGGTGGACAGGCGCGTGGGTTGCGTATTGCTCCCATGGGCAGCCTCACCTTATTGAACTGCTCGGCCAAGGGTTCTGGTGGAGGCCAGGCCTGAGCTTGGTTTGGTCAAGGAATGAGTCCCAATTTGCGCTATGATCCAAGGGTTTACTTTGGTAGCGGGGTAAACATGTTTCAGGGTTTGTGGGCTTCATCATGAAGTGTGACAACCCCAGGTAGATGAAGGATGCCTACAAATTCGGAGGGTCTGCAAACTGTGGGTGCACGAAAAAGCTCGTCAGCATGGGGTGCATGTTTTTTCACCTGACTTCAGTTCTTTATTTTGTTTCCCTTGGCCGCTGGAGCTGTCTTAAACTCTGAAAAGTTTGTCCAGCGACCGTCTTCGTCCAGTCATTATGACACGCTGTGTTCGTCGGATGACGGTCCTCGCTTGGCAACGCCCCAGGCTTTGCTTGCTATGACAAGGGCCTCCAGTTGGACGGAGCACTTCGTTTCCACCAGTGCACTGCGGAAGTGCTGGGTGGCGGCCTCATGGTGAGGCACGTGGCGTTGGGCATTCTGCTTGCAATATGGAGGGGAAGAGACTCAAATCAGAAGGAATTTGTGAATGGTTTGTTTTCCTTGTGTGTTGACCTGGATTCGGATTGCAGTCGCCGTTGTTCTGGGAGGTCGGGGACATTGATGCAACAGCAAGGACGCCTGGAGTTCGCGCATTGCTTGGTGCAGCAAGAGGTTCGTTCTGACAAGCATTGGTGGGCAAGCAGATTGGAGCCTTGGACTGAATTTGTTGGGCGGAGCATGTTCGTGCAGGAATGTTTGAGCCGGTGCCTTTTGCCGCTGATACATTTTGGAATAGTTGTGTCAAGGTTCATTAATATCCCATTTATGTCTTTTGGTGAGCCGGATTCGAAATCTTCGTAATGAAGGGTAAGGTTGAAGTTTAAAGATGTTCAAAGGTTTAAGATGTTCAAAGGTTTGCATGCCCGAACGGAGCCACACAAACCAAACCTTAAAATTTACTGACCAAGCATTTCAACAGGAACCAAGTGGAGCTGGAGGGGCTTTGTCCATAGAAGATGGGAACCTCACCCTGTCCCGGGGGGAGATCATCGTCGAGAACTGCATGGCAAAGAGAGGACAGGTATTTGGAGCTTGCGATTAAGAGTAAATCAAAAATAGACCATTAAGGTTGTTAAAAGTCAAGAGTGTAGACGAGTGTAGTGGAGATATTTGTGAGGCTTTCACTTTCGCTAACGAATCTACTCTGGGTGAGTCAGCTCAGAACCAGTAGGCCAGTAGGTGTAGAAGACGGCCATCTCAACCACCTCCCAGGTGGAGGCATCGCCTTGAATGGCAGCTACTTTACGCAGGCAAGTGGGAAGCTGCAGATGGTGGATTGCGAGGCTGAAGAGGATGGCGGTGGCTTATTTTTGCACAAGAGCTACGTTACCAAGCATGCCGGCCTCCTCCTTTCCAAGAGGTGCATAGCCAAGTTTGGAGGAGGTGTAGCAAGTCTTGATGGACAGGTTCGCCAACATGGTGGACAGATTTCCTTTGATCAGTGTGAAGCAGTTGAGGGTGGCGGATTGGCATCTTGGAATGGCGATGTTGTTCTGAAGGGCAGGGTGATCGCTGAACATTGCGCGGCCAGCAATCAAGGAGGGGGGTTTTATGTACAAGGCCACATTGCACAGGAGGGTGGCTATGTTGCATTTCATCAATGTTCGGCTGAGAAAGCTGGTGGCGGCATCTTCCTACACGGCACCTTGTCCCAGATGGATGGCGAATTGAGGCTCAACGAATGCAAGTCCTCTCACAGAAGCAAAAGCAGCCGCCTCAGCGATCAAAGCCCTACATATGGAGGAGGTGTGTGGGTGCAAGATGGTGACATCAAACAGCATGGTGGAACGATGTCCTTTTTGGGCTGCAGTGCTTCTGGCTATGGAGGTGGGCTTGGAGTGACTGCTGGCAGCATAAAGCAAATGGGTGGACAGATACGACTTGACGCTTGTGAGGCAAAATGGTCTGGTGGCGGAATTTATCTCCAAGGCAATTTGTCTCAGCTTGATGGCACAATGAACCTGAAGGGTTGCCATTCCCGGCAGGAGGAGAAGAATACCGAAAGGGGTGGAGGAGGTGTGTGGGTGGAGTCAGGTGAAGTGCATCAGCAAGGTGGAGCCATGTCGTTCAGCAACTGCACTGCTGCTGGATTTGGAGGTGGCCTTGGAGTGGCCGCGGGAAACATTAGACAAGGAGGTGGGCATTTAGACTTGGAGGATTGTGGTGCTGGACGGTCTGGCGGTGGAGTTTATGTCAAGGGCAGTGTCTTTCAGACAACTGGACTTTTGCATGTTTCCAGGTGCGTTTGTGAAAATGGTGGAGGTGGCATGTTGGTCAGAGAAGGTGATGTGAATCAGGATGGAGGAAGCATGTCATTTGCAAGTTGTATGAGTGAGAACTATGGAGGCGGCCTGGCTGTGGCTGGTGGAAGCATCAAGCAGCAGGGCGGACGCCAAGAATTTAATCGCTGCGCTGCTGGCGAAGCAGGTGGTGGCATGTTTGTCAACCTTGGCAATGTCTCCCAGACCGATGGCACTGTGACATTCAACGGATGCAAGGGTGATTTTGGCGGAGGAGGTGCATGGGTCCAATCAGGTGAGGTGCATCAGCAAGGCGGAGGTATGTCATTCACCAACTGCACCGCTCCCTTTGGCTATGGAGGTGGCCTCAGAGTGTTCGAAGGACACATCCGACAAGAAGGTGGGCGTTTAGACTTGCATCGTTGTGTGGCGAAAGAGTATGGTGGTGGAATCCATGTGAATGGCAGTGTGTCTCAGACCAACGGCCTCCTGCAATTCTCCAGGTGCTCTGCCTCAAGCGGAGGTGGCATGGCTGTATATCCCGGTGATGTGAATCAGCAGAATGGAAGCATGTCATTCACTGATTGTCAGGGGACTGAATTGGGAGGTGGCCTTCTGGTGGCTGATGGAAGCGTCACACAACGGGGCGGACGCCTTGAATTTGAGGGTTGCAGGGCGCCTGCAATAGCAGGTGGGGGCATCTTGGTCCTCAAAGGTGATGTATCCCAGTTTGATGGCACCATGACATTCACTGACTGCAGCTCCGGACCTGAAGGTGGAGGAGGTCTTAGTGTGCACATGGGTGATGTAAATCAGCAGGGTGGGAGTATGACCTTTTCGAAGTGCCATGCTTCTGGCTACGGGGGTTGTCTTGCACTGCTGGTTGGGAGCATCAAACAACTGGCTGGGCACATGCACTTTGAAGATTGCGACGCCAAACGGTCCGGCGGCGGAATCTATGTCAAAGGCAAGGGGTTCCAGACCAACGGCACGATGAGCCTCACAAGGTGTCGGTCCTTGCAAAAGCAGAAAGTTGCCAGCAATGAAGCTATTTGGGGCGGAGGTGGTGTATGGTTGGAATCTGGTGACATGCATCAGCAAGGCGGAGCCATTTCAATGACCACTTGCAGTGCCGCTTCTGGCTGGGGCGGTGGTCTCGGAGTGGCCCTGGGGAACATCAAGCAATCAAGTGGGCTTCTGGAACTGGATGGATGTGTTGCCAGACAGTCTGGCGGTGGAATTTATGTCAAGGGCAATTTGTCGCAGGTTGATGGCACAATGAACCTCAAGGGTTGCCTCTCCAATCGGGTGGCGGGTGTAGGCAACGGAGTTGCTCGGGGTGGAGGAGGAGGTGTGTGGGTGGATTTGGGAGAAGTGCATCAGGATGGTGGAGCTATTTGGATTACTAAGTGCAGTGCTGCTGGTGCCTATGGGGGTGGCCTCGGCGTGGGTGCGGGAAGCTTCCAACAAAAGAGTGGGCGGCTAGAACTGCATGGTTGCGAGGCCGGACAGTCCGGCGGTGGAATGTATGTCAAGAGCTATTTGTCCCAGGTTGGTGGGACCATGAACATCAGGAATTGCAAATCCATGCAAGGGTGGGGCGCCGACAAAAATAGCGTTTGGGGCGGGGGAGGTGTGTGGGTGGAATTAGGTGAGGTGCATCAATACGGTGGAGCTATTTCATTCACCAAGTGTCGGGCCATTTTGGGCTACGGAGGTGGCCTGGGAGTGGCCGCAGGAACAATCAAACAACTGGCTGGACACCTGCAGTTTAAAGAATGTGAGGCCAAACGGTCTGGCGGTGGAATTTACCTCAAGGGCAGTTTGTTCCAGGTTGAGGGCACGATGGGGCTCCATGCTTGCAAGTCCTTGACAAAGCAAAAGGGTGCCGGCGATGAAAGTGCTTGGGGCGGAGGAGGTGTGTGGGTGGAATCAGGTGAAGTGCAACAGGATGGTGGAGCTATTTCATTCACCAAGTGTAGTGCTGCTGGCCCTGGAGGTGGTCTTGCGATCGCAGGAAATATCAAACAAAGGGATGGGCTTCTACAGTTCAATGGTTGCAATTCCACCGATTCTGGTGGTGGAATATATGTTTGGGGCAGCTTGTCCCAGACTAATGGCACTTTGGAGCTGAAGACATGCTCAAGCCAACAAGACGGAGGTGGTGTGAGTGTGCACAATGGTGATGTAAATCAGGATGCTGGACATATAAGCTTCACCAAATGCAGCTCCGCTTCGGGGGGTGGCCTTGCCGTGACTCATGGACAAGTCGAAAGAAAGGGCGGCCTGCTGGACTTCAATGATTGCCAAGCCGATGAGAGTGGCGGATGTCTCAACATTCAAGGGGGCCTTTTTCAAAGGGATGGCTCCATGAGGTTTGAGAATTGCACGTCTACGTCTCCCTACGGCTACGGTGGTGCAATCAATATTGAAGGTGGCGGATTCTTCCAAATGAATGGTTCGTCTGAATTTTACAAATGCTTTGCACATAGTGGCGGAGGTGGCATTTCTATCGGCAGAGGCAAAGGACTTCAGCTCCATGATGGTTTGATGTTCTTCAAGCAGTGCCAGACAAGGTCACTTGGTGGCGGCCTCTACATGCAGGGTGTTGGTGCGCGTGTGCATGGGAAGTTGAGGTTTGTTGAGTGCGAATCTTACAAGGCAGGTGGTGGAATGTATGTGGATCTTGCAAAGGAAAGTTTTACATTGACTGGTACCATGCAGTTTGAGCAGTGCAAGACGCTGGGTTGGAAGCTAGAGTTGGGTATGGGTGGTGGAGGTGGGCTTTTTCTTGGCAACGGTAAGTTCATCCAAGCAAGTGGCAAGATGAAGCTTCCAAGTCGCACAATTACGTTTTGTATATGTTTGGAAGTCAGTCGTGTCATGAATCTAGGTTGCAGATTTCAGTCAGTCAATTTGTTACCTCTTGTTTCTCATGGCTTATGTCAAAGGTTGAGAGATCTACTTGGTTCTTGACACCTGGAACATGATCATGCGTGAGCAGGGACGGTGCAAACGAGTTTTTCAGAGCGTGCTTGAGCCGAGGTTTAATGATTGCACAGCTTGGCCTTCCGGGGGTGGTATGTTTCTCACCCGTGTCGACCTCACTGCGAATGGCGAGACGCACTTCAACAGATGCATGGCGAAGTCCGATGTAGGCGCCACGACCAGTGGTGGAGGACTATTCTTTCGCAAAGGTCGAATCGTCCAAGCAGGTGGAACAATGTCGTTGCCAGGTTGCACAGGGTTCAGGGCAAGGTTCCAACCTAAACTACACTTGACTGAAGCTCCGGGTACCCGGTCCTAACGCCAAGTGCAGGGAGGATACGGTGTGCCTGGGTCTCCCGGGCCTGGGCAGAAGTTTGCGCATCATTACCTCATCACCATCAATACCATCATCACGGTTACACAGTTACACCAGCATCACCATCACCATCATGATTGTATACAATCCTCATCAATCCTCATCACCTTCACAACTATCACCGTGATCTTGAAGTCTTGAACACCATCACCACCGGGCTATGTTTGGAGGCTTTCTCACAGGACATGCACTAGGAATGCTCGAAATGTTGCTGTGGCGGCTAGCCGAACCGTAAGTGCAGCCAGCAAATGGCTGTAATTGGATGTTCCTCGTATTTGTGGGGCCTCTAGAACGGTAGCATGCCGTTATTTTCATCAGCATCACCATAGTGATCAAAATCCTCCTCTCCTCCTCCTCCTCCTCCTCCTCATCGCCTTCTTATATACAAGTTAATCGTATTATCGTCCCATGATTGATGATGATGAGGATGATGACGATGATGACGATGACGATGACGATGACGATGACGATGATGACGACGGCGACGGCGACGACGACGAGGAGGAGGAGGAGGATTGCGAAAGCCAGCCAATAGGCTAGGCTGAGGTTAAGAATTAAGAGGAAGTGCACTGCGTGTCAAAAATCATGAACCTGTTCCAGCATCACTTGCATCATCAAATTGGGGTCATCAGGTCATCAGGAGCACCTGGCTTCTTTCAGGAAAATCGGGGCAAAGATGCTTTGACGACCCAGGGGCTTCCTCTATGAGAGTTTGGACACTACTGCTGACTCCGGCTCCGACCCAGGGGCGAACAAGTCTGACTCCAGGTGATCAAAAAGCTTTCGGCTCTCCCTTTGATCTTTTATGATGATGGTGATGATTGTGTCGAAGATGATGATGTTGATGAGGACGACCAGACTGAAGCACTGAAGATAGGAATGGTGGTGCTATGGATAATTGACGTGTCGTGATCATCAGAATCGTCATCAACATCGTAATGAGGGTCATTGTCAACATCATTTGCCTTCAACTGTGACCGTGCCCGTCCGCCACTCAAAAAAACACTTGGCAACTGAATCAAAATAGATAGATACCATACCTTGCGGTATAAGTTTCTTCAAGCCTCCGGAGCTTGGCTTTGGATCTGTCGTCGGGTCAAAGCTTTCCTTGGCGCCCTGAAAAGCATTGCTCCTACCACCTTTTTGGCGCAGAATTACAAGATCGTATAATTTGAACGCTTGTGTTGGAATATATTAATAATTTTTGTCAAAACATTCTGTTTGAAACCATGTGGGGCGCTGCAAATAGAACATCAAATTTAATCAAATTTATTAGAAGTGATTCGGGGGGCACGGTAAGTACCCATCATACATTGCTTGCTCACTAAAAGATAAAGGGGCACAAGTTGTGGCTTCCATTTGAACCACAAATCTGGGCATCAGGTTGTGCCCACCCCTGCGTTTTCTCATGATCCTTGCTTCTGTTTGAAACCTTACTTAGCTTTCTTACCAAACCGTCCACGTCTAATTGAAAATATTGTTGTGTGTCTCCTATTTTAGTTGCTTGAACTTTAACAAGGGTAACATCCTTGATGCCCTCAAGCTGCATTCGCTTTCTAGACTTCAAGCCCGTCAGAACCTTGCAGCAAGGGGCCTTAAGGCAGACGGTCTCCTTCCTCAGTTCCTCTCATGTGCCTCCTTGTTGGCTGGCAATGCCCTCAGTAGACATGTCAGTCGGCAAGCCCTCCTTCCTCCGACATGACGTGACTTCAGAGTGGTGTTTGTCCCCACTGGCGTGTGTATACATATATGTGTATTTATATTTATACGTGTTTTTGTTGTTTTGGTGAGTCAGTGTTCAGGCGTCATGAAATACCAAAACGGTAATGAAATACCAAAACGGTAAAGTAATTTGCCATGCTCAAATCAATTGTCCTGCGGGGCCACACCATCTAACCTAAACCACAACTTAACCTTCCTGCACACCTTCTGAAACCTAAGAACTGACTTTGCGGCTTGCAATGTATCTCTACTGGCTTTCCCTTGCCTGCTTTTCACGATTTCATCTGCGTTCGCGCTCTGTTCCCCGAAGCTGACCAGCGCGCGTGTCAAAATGTCCCGTCGTGCTGGAAGTAGGACTCCAACCAGAGCGTGCCGATGATGTGCGCTTCCGACAAATCTGAAGCGTGCTCTGCCTCGAGAATTTGCAGCGTTCCAGTTTTTGTCCAGTGGGACTGCTGTTGGACGCCAGGTCCACTGAGCACAGACAAAGTCAACAGACCCTTCAAAACTTAAAACTTTGAGAAACAAGAGAGGAACCCGCGAATGAGGGGTTTCTGCTTCCCCCTTCTGACAGTGGTGCGTTTCTTGAAGGCAAAGAGATTATATAAGTTAAGTCCAATTTAGAAGACTGACAGGTGAATGTAGGCATTGTCCATTCAGGAGACGGATCAGAAGTTTGTTCAGGGATAATCACATTGTCACCTAGAGCCAGCAGCGACCTCGGTCGTCCAATAGCTGAACCACGCCAGTGCTTGGTGCCATAGGATAGTATCCAATACAGCAATGCTGTTTTCCGTAGTTGTTGGGTTGGGGCAGTGAATTGGTCGTAGGCTTTATTTGCAGATTCAGATGCTTGGCAGGTTTGACCGGTGCGAAGCATCACAAGGAGGTGGCGCAGCGCTTTCCCATGCAAACTGGGCACACCAAGCTGGCAACTTGCACGCGTTGGATTGCCAGGCGAGGGAAGGTGGTGGGTTTCATGTGGCCCAGTCAACTATGGAACAGCTTGGAGGAACAATGTTCTTCAAGCGCTGTAATGCTACAAAAGACGGCGGCTGCATTGAGACGGTGAGATCTTCTTTCAATCAACTGGAGGAAGGCACTTTACGGTTTGAAGAGTGCAACGCGACCAGACTCTTTCCCGCAGTCTCGATTGGTTTGGTCTTGTTGCCTTTTGCGGTGCTCCTCGCGCACCATTACCCTTTAAAGCTACTTTAAAATTGAAGAGCAATAACATTCTTCGCGCAATGTCGGCCTCCCATAGCCTGCCTAGGGACAAAGTGCTTAGAAAACTATATACTCATTCATAGTTGCAGGTCTTGTGGTCACGGAGCACTTGTTGCGCAGCATCTGGGGGATTTAAGTTGCTGGAGCATGCGGTGTCGTGCTTTCATGGGTTTCCGAATGACATTTCCGAACCCGACTAGTGATTTTACGGTACCTCAAACCAAGTGCAAGTAGCGCCTTTTTGTCCAACGAGATGTTCTCGCTGGAACCTCAGTCATGTCCACCTCTGATTGCTGGCTTAAATGTGACAACGTTGCAAAGCATGTTACTTTGCAATATTTTGCAATGAATTACCCTTCAGATTGCATGCTAGTCTCCCCATACTTGAGGGACATTGATGTAGATTACGAACTTGCAGTAGAGCGGTGTTTTCTTGTAAGTTCATACTCAACCCGTTTGTATTCTGACCGCACTCCTTCAGTGTTTGAAGCATCCCTTTCTTGTGAAGCAGGCTCCTCACCCATTCTCCTTCAGGGTTCGGTGGTTCTTAACAGTCGGTTGTGCAACATCACAGTGAACTCCAAAAACTGAGCTGTTACACCAGCAAAACCTTGCAAAACTGGGCTGAAATCACCTTTTGTAGTTCTTCATCTCTTGCACTGCTGAAAGATATGTGCAAAAACCTTGTTTGCCCATCACTGACCCTGCAAGAGATGAAGAAGAGATTCTCGAAAGGGACTTATGCAGGGTAGAATAGCCAAATGCTCTGAACGATCACTTTGCTTCCATGTTTCGAAAGATCAAGTTGCTGCACCAGAACACCTTGGACACGTTGACAATTTATTACTGAAAGCAACTTGTTCTTCAGTGAGTGCTTCATGGCGGAGTGCAGCATTTATCATAATGTCCTGCCGTGCTAAGACGTAAAGCTTTTTGCACAAGAGTTAGTTTGCTTTCGCCTATTTACAAAGGGCTAGGACATACATATTGTAGTTTCTCCACATGTCTCCACCAAGAGAGCCCAGTAACAAAATGCCGCTGAAATTGCCGTTTCAAAGCTGCAGCCCTTGCATCGTTTAAATGTCAGAAAGGGACGCTACACAGATGTCAGTTTCTATTATGCTAGCTTTCAGCTTTCAACCGTCCTTGCTACTCTTTGGCTTCACTTCATCTCCGACACCCGCGCCTGCTACGAAATCTATACTTTTTTAGGTGAACTCTCTGTGCGACTGCAACAACACTCACCCCAAAAAATATCTAATCAAAAACGAAAAGATTCGTTTTGCTTCTGAAACATGTAAATATTTTTCGCTAATGAGTGGTCTTTGGCCTGTGCAGGTCACGATATGTACGTTACTTTGTTTTTGATGATTTAAATTTGTTTTTGATAAGGTCATTAATTTATTGTTGCTTATGTTTTATTTGTTTTTTATATTTCACTCAGCCGTGGAACCCCTCACCTGCCAGGTGAGGGTCTATTTTCATGGTACTACTCCGTCCTTCCTCTTCCTTCTCCTCCCTTCTGTCCTTCTTCTCCCTTCCTTCCTGCTCAGTCGCGGCATGCACGGACCTGCACACCATAGACTGGCACAGACGGACCCGCGCACGGTAGAGAGCGCCAGCTCCCTTTGTGCACGCGCGGGCCTGAACGCATGCCAACTCAGATGCAATGAAAAAGAATAATGCCAGAAAGGATGTCAGAATATATTCTAGTTTGAATGCCACGCGATATGCCAGATGAATGTCAGAAAAGATATTAGAAGAGTGCCAAGTAGAATGGCAGGACGATGTCAGAAGATATGCCAGTTGGAATTCCAGAAAAGATGTGAAAAGATATGCCGGAGAATGCCAGAAGATATGCCGAAAAGAATATGAGAAGATTCATTGGAAATAATTGAAATAATGTCAGAAGATTTTTCTGGTAGAATTGCAGGCGGTTTGCTACAAAGAACGCTGCAAGAATATGCCAGGTAGAATGCAGGAAAGGATGTCAAGAGCTATGGCAGTTTGAATGCCAGATAGATAGAATACCAGAAAAGATGCCAGGAGATGTTATATTGCAGTTGGGAACTTAGAATGCCAGAAAGGATGTCAGAAGATATACCGAAAAGGGTGCTAGAATGTATGCCCACAAGAATGCCAGAAAGGATGTCACACCAGCTAGAGTTGATATGCCAGATATAATGCTAGAGGTAGAATGTATGGTAAACGCCGGAAAGAGTGTCAGGAGAGATGCCAGGCAGAATCCCAGAAGATATGCCAAATAGATTGCCATTGAGGATGTCAAAAGATGTGCCAGAAAGGATGTCAGAAGTTTTGCGGGATGCAATGTCAGACGATTTGGGAGTGCGAATGTCATAAATATGGCAGATAGAACGTGGAAAAAGATGTCAGAAGATGCACCAGGTATAGAACGCCAGAAGATTTGCAAGAGATTTGTTTGTATGTATATATATATATGCCAGAAAGGATGTCAGAAGATGCACCACGTAGAATGTGAGAAGATATGCCAAATAGAACGCCAGCGTACATGCCAGCTAGGATGCCAGAAAGGAGTCTGAAGATTTTCTCCAGTTAGAACATCAGAAGTTATTCCAGGCAGAATGCCATTACAGGATGTCAGAAGATATGTGAGTTAGGACCAGAAGAGGTACCAAAGGATGTTGGAAGATATACTTGTTACCAGAAGGTATGCCAGAGAGAATGAACAAGATGTCAGAAGATATGCCAGTTCGACTGCTCAATGTCAAAAGATTTGCCAGAAACGGACGCTAACATGCCCAACACATTAAACGGAAAACAAACCCCAACTGCATGCCATACATTGCGAACAGAAACTATCAAATCCTATTGTTTATTGCTGCACACTTTCCACTCCAAAACGATGTGTGCACCATTCTGAACGCAAACTCATGCAAGCATGGAATGCACGTTCTGAACTAGGCATGCGACATGCGTGTTCAACTTTAAACCACCCTAGTCGTAATCAGTGTTCAGGCCTATTGTGCTACCTAGGCTGCAGGGAACACAAAGCATTGCAACATGTAAGGATACAGTTCTACGTTGCAAAGGACACATGTACACAGTGCGAGTGTGATTAGCGCCTATAGCCCGTCCAGCCTAGTTCAAGGCCACTGAACGTGCATCAACACAAACAGGTTGTGTTACCTAAGGCTAAATTGTTCGTTTGTATTTTCGGTTGCCACTATCCATTTAGAGTGTGGGATCCCCAGCGTGGTGTATTTCTGCAGAGTGTTTGAGTCGTTTTGGTGCTTCTACAAAGCGCACATGCTTTGTAAGAGTATTTCAGTTGTTTGTAAGATCGGCATACGGCTTTGTGCCACCCTCAAGAGCTGTTGCAGCAATGCTGCAACCCAATCCACAATCTAGAACATACATGGGCTTGCTCCTATTGTCCAGTGTCCATGAACTGCCCAGCTGGCGGGGTCCTTAGACACCGAAAGGCACCGAAAAACCCACAGAATCATGAAATTTCAGAGTGACTTATCCTTTGCATGTTAGTACCTGCAGCTGACGCATGGTCCTGAATCTGTTTCAGGTTCTGTTTATGTGTTGTGATTTGTTACTACCTTTGGCTGGGACTTTCCTTCTAATCAGTTTGGTCTTCATGTTTTTGGAGGGACCACACTTTGATTTGTTCTCGGTTTTACCAAACAGTTTCCTTCAAGAATAATGTAGACGATAGTTTTAAAGGCAGGTAGTGCCACTTATAGAAACAACTGTGATACAATATCTGGGAGGTTGCCGACTGATCGCCACAAGAGCTCGATTGGTTTCACGCGGATAAGGAATTGGCGGTGCCTTTGCCAGTTTCGATCACAAGCAGTTGGTGTCCAATGGAACCATGTTCTTCGATTCTTGCATGGCCCGGGAGAAGTCTGCAATGTACGTTGAGGGGGACGCCGCTCTGGGACACGTGATTTGTCAAGATTTCAATCCCCGTGCATCTTCGGTGATCTATGTGGTAGGTGGGCTTACCGTCAAAACAATCAATCCAGGGTTGACACGTCCAATTGTGTTTAGACGGGCATTAAGAACACAGTCGGTGCCCCGACACTTGCATCGTTGAGTTTTCAAGTGATTGGACAGGTAGCCTTCAAGTTCACAGCATGCAACTTCAGAATCGCCACACGGACGCCACTTGTTTGCGCTTAGCCATGCCCTATTCTTGTGTTTCCCTGCCTACACTATACCAAGCCGCTGGACGTGTCACTTTCCACCGGTGAGGTGAGTTTCCGAGTTCATGCAACCAAAAGCCTCCGCGTGAAGGAAGCGGTGGACTGCAGTGATACTCGGAAGCGGTGCTTGTTTGAGTCGTTTGCCAGCAGCTCAGCGCATCTCTTATGCCCACCTGGCACAGGCCTCGTGCGCGATGACATTGGCAACAAACAGTTTGTAGGTTGCTTGCCTTGTCCGCCTGGCAGCACACAATTAGTGCAGCGGGCCACTCGTGAATGTGCTCCATGCAGGAGCGAGTTTGAGTCCTGCAACCGTGACCGAGTGAAGATGAAACAAGGTCTCATGAGTGAAGAGGTGGAGAACGTCACAGCCAGCAACTTGCACGTTCATCATTGTCCAAATCCTCACGCTTGTCCTGGTGGCCAAGTTCCCCAAAATAGATTTGGCAAGCAAATGTGCAAAGTGGGGCATGTTGGTAATGGTTGTTTGATGTGCAATGCCTCTACACACGCAGCCTTTGATTCGGATGCTTTGTCGTGCACCAGATGCGCAACAAGCCAACTCAGACAGTTCACACAGTGTCTTTGCTTGGTTGGGGATCGAAAGGGGCTGACTCACCATGTTGAAAGATTTGTATGTACCGTCATTCTCACTGCACTACCCGGCTTCCCCTTCACAGTTGTTTTCGCAATATATGTGACGAGGTGTACTTTGAAACCACGTGTGAGGTTTGGCTACATGATCTTCAGAGACCTTGGCATCTTTTTGATTGCTTATCGAGGCGGCCTTAAAGCAGCGGAGCAAAAGGACCTCGTCTAATCAAAAGTGTTTTGAATGGTTTGCTTGCACTCGGTCGAGCACATGGCACCTGGAAAAGGTAGTGCGATGTTTGTTCCCAGCAACCAACAAGGATGCCAAGACCAGCAGCATTCTTCTCAATCAGCTCTTGGCCTTTGGCGCTGTTGCAAACATTGGGGTCGTGGCAGCGTTGAATACTGGTGTAGCACAAGCCGTGAGAGACCGCGTTGGGATGTCGATATCAGATCTCATGCAACCTACCTGCTTTCATTTTTTGGCAGTCTTGTATACCCGTTCGTTGGACATCGGTTCACTGCGGTTGTAGGGTTCCCACTGTTCTGTGGGGCTTTTGAAGACGCTTCGTTGGTGTGGCTGATTCTTGGGACAGCCATAGGTTAGATAGTGTTTTAAGATGTTTTGAGTACGCTGATGACAATGCAGCTCATTTCTCCTCCCGTCAGCCTGAGTGCATCAATAATATAGCATACAGGAGGGGCTTGCATTGCACATGTCCAGGAAGACGTGCTGAGATCGGTTTTCATCTCCAAGGGGCACATGTCAGGCAAGAAAGCCGCAACGAAGTAGCTGCCTGGAAGAATTTCGCCACAACACTCCTTTGATTCTACAGTTGTTGTCTCCTTTGACCTCCTTTGTCTCCTTCCGTTATCTTCATTTACTCCGCCCAATCTCATGTTGCTTGATTTTCTTTAAGGAACATCGCCCACATCAACAAATCATGGCACCCTTCATTGAGTTTATGTCATGTTCACATCGGTCATCTACGCATCATCGTGCCTTTGATTGAGTTGATATATGATATCTACCATGTTTATCCCGACTTTGTATAATAACATTGTTTGCAACTCCACCTGTTACAGATGCTGGTTCCTCCAAAAACAAGCTACATGTGCAAGTTTCCAAGTGGCTTCCTCAAATTGAGCCATCCTGTCATCCCTGTTTTCCCTTGTGGCTATCAGAAGGCTGCAATTGCAAATGGAAGTATGTTTGCTCGCCCATACCACTGAGCATAGCCGCTTGCAGGGTCCCTTTGATGCCATGAGGTGTGTGCCTCAAGGGCCATGAAATCATCCCGGATCTCGACAGTGCTGAACAGGATTGGAAAGTGTTGTTCTTTGCCCTGTTCATCATTTTGCAGGACTAGCATCACAGTCCCATGGTCCTGTGGGATCATTCTGGTCGCCAAGGGCTTTGTGGCAGGGGCCTTTCCACACACCCAAAGTTCTTCATGCCCTGTGCCTTTTCCTCTTCTGTCTTTCAAGCCCTGTTTGCCCTCCCAAAGCGTCTTTGATGCAAAGAACAGCTTACATTGGAAAGGGCTCCTAGGATTCCAGAAGTCTGTTCGGACAACTTGTTCCTTTTTTGAGCATTCATTGACCCAAATTTAATCCAAAATATGTTGACGATGTTAAAGGATATTAAAGGTATTCTTGCAGACACTTTAGCCATTTCGCAACCTATCAGAGTCCTCACTTGTCTTCCTCGGAAATTGCTGGCATTGTTTCATTGTTTGAGTGCTGCAGCGAACAAGACTGAGAGGTAGGGAGGCACTATATACCAGGTTTATAGATCGTAGTGTGCAAACCTTTGGATCATTTGGATCGACGCACGTGCAGACACATAGAGAGGGAGGGAGGGAGAGAGAGAAGGAGAGAGAGCGAGAGAAAGAGAGAGAGAGAGAGAATCGACAAATATAAATATATAGTAATATATATATATACACAATACATTATATTTACAGCCTTCAGCATGCCGCCGGCCACCAGCTCGAGCCCGCATTGGCAGGCAGCTTAATGATACAATACCCTGCTCAATCATACTTGTTGGTGCTTTGGCGGTGCACATTTGGCTGGGTGAGTTTGTTGATGTTTATTTCAAGGTTGTTTGACCATGAAATGGAACGAATCCGAATCAGAGGTTGTCTATTCTGATCCAGCGATCGACATGTCTCAGTCCAATGGTTGTCTATTCTGCTCCAGCGACCTCCTACCTACCCTACTACCTACTACGTACCACCTACCACCTACTACCTACTACCTACGACCTACTACCTACTACCTACTACCGACTACTGCTGCTACTACTGCTACTACTACCACCACCACTTACAGTCCAACCTACTACCTACTACGTACTACCTACTACCTACTACTACTGCTGCTACTACTGCTACTACTACCACCACCACTACCTACAGTGGGGGGGAGGAGGGGGGGGCGTCAGGCTGTCGAAAAATCCGCGCGGAGAGACAAACCGTAGATTGAAACCAACACAAGCAATACTAACCAAAACAATCCACAAAACACGCCGGCAGGCCGGCGGATAATGAGTTGGCAGCGCGCAGTTTTCTTCGACTATGTCAACATTTGTCAAACATGGGCAAGAAAGAACCTAACAATAATTAAAGACAAACATGCCGTAATAGACACTGTATGCTAGTCTCCCTGGTCCCTTCTTTATTAGAAACTTGTTCAGGTTTGCCTTTCCTTTTGGGGTGTGTCGGTTTCTGCAAACGGCCCGGGCCAAGAAGTCCAAAAGAGAGAATGGTTTGGCAAGATTTCGGTGCAAGACAAGTACATAGCAAAAAAATGTGGGGAGGATAAACAATGACAGACTCAGGCGGTGAGTGTGGGAGGAAGGGAAGAAAGGAGGGAGAGGGAACACAACATGATGATGTGAGGGATTTGTGGGCATTGGTTTATTATATCCAACTTGAATGAATCTGACTTCCACGATTAAAAGACTCATGGACGCATTTTTTGGAGTGGGGAAGGCTGATCAGCAGTGAGTGTAGACAGGCATGCCTTGGTCTTGGAGTCTCAGTGGAATCCGGGAGAGTCCTCTGGCAGTATGTCCGCGCAATGCTTGCTGACATACATCGGGCTGCCACCGGAAATGTGGATCGCGCACGCGGCCAGGCTGCAATTTTGCAAGGTTCGATGCTTCTACACGTTTTCAATAAGAAGAGAGAGTCTATGAACGTTATCCAAGGGCAAATGAAATACATTGTGTATAATAGAGTATGGCCAAAGAAGTTCCTTTTGTTTTTCCAGAGAACCTTTTTCAGAGGATATCTATTTTGAGGATGTTTGAGGCTGACTCAAGTGTGTGTGTGTGTGTGTGTGTGCATGTGTGTGTCCTTTACAGGTTTCCGCAGCATTTGTTTGGAAGGTCTTTGCATCCATAGTCCCTTTCACATTAATTCTGGTCTTTGGACTTGCTCACGACCCTGCGTTGGCGCTGATCGCGGGCAGCAACTGCTTCTTGCTTGCAAAGTTCTTTGGTTGGTTGCCTGGTTCTTTGCTTGATACGAACCCTTGGAGCCTTGGAGCTTGTTGGTGTGCCAGAAAATTCTCAATCATACCTCTCGTCAGAATCGATTGTTTTTGATTGGCCAACTTGTTGACATGCCCCGACTTGCCAAGGTTTTCTGCCGGCTTTTTGCGCGAACTTCGCCAAGTATGCCACTCGTATAGTCCGCAAGTGGGCTTGGCCCTGCCGCCTCGCGAACAGCTCATTTGGGGAATCCTGCCAACCTTGCAGCCGACAGTGGGGAGATAAAGAAAGGAAATGGTGTGATAAGGAAGGTCCACTCCTTCACTTTGCAATTGAAACTCATTTATTAAGCTAGACCACATGCATCCACATGCGCCCACGATTGGACCCAGAAACCTCAAAACATTTGCAGTTTGGACCCTGGTGAAGGAATGAGATTGACTGTATCATTGCCGTATCCTTTGTTGCCTAGGCAGGTGTTCTTGCCCTCCACCCCAGAATATCCTAGTGATGCCAAGCGTTTGGAGAAGCTGAGCATGTGACCTACTTGTTTGAGAGATGTGTTCCCCCCTCCATTCATTCGTTTTGGGGCATGTTTCTGTTGCCGGCCAAGATGGAATTGACAATCACATCTTTTCTCATTGACACCGAGGGCTGTAGCAACAGAGTCCTTCGATCTGGTTGTTGGTCTTCAGAGTCCAGTTCTTCCGTTCCTTAACCTAATGGCCTCCAACCTAAGTGCCAACAAAGAAGGTTCTGCTGATACTGAGCGAGGAACAGAGACTGTCAGAAGGGAGTCGAATCACCGATGACCTGAGTCGAAGGATCTTTTGCCCAGGTCGTCTACTTCCGCACTGAGATCATCCAACCGCTTGGAGAGGATGGAAAAGAAGTGCTTGGCGACCCCAGGCGGAGCAGTTCCAGCTGGGGTGGGGAGTTGCAATGCACGCGTTTGGAAGAGAAGAGGATGACATGTATCACTGTATCATGCACCATGTAGGGTTGAAAATGGGCTATTGGTGTCCATCCGGTCAAGACCACGACACCAAATCTGAAGACCATGCCCATCCAAGGAAATGTTAGCTAATTTGAGTTTGCTGTTTTGTTTTCTTTTCCGCTGTAGTTGATTGAAGTGTGCACAGCTACTTTTTTTGGCACAGCTCTCCAAGTCAGGTACGAGTTCTTACCGAAGTTCTTGCAGCCTTTGCCCATCTTCAGCCTGACGTTTCCTGGGCCAAAGCTCACAATGTCTAAGCTCTAACCTGCTCCAACCATGTGCCACTCCTGCTAGATCTCAGGGAAGCGGGGTTGGAAGAATCTGAGATGTCAGTGTTCAATGTGAGTCCCAACACGTTGTGTTTCCTGGATGTTTCCTTCAGTTGACATAGCTTCTGACTTGAACCAATCCCATCTACGATGAAATCGTTGAAAGAAAAGTCGTCAAGAATCCAAGAATGCGAGTTGGCCCATTGCGCCTGGTGGACTCAGTTGCCAAGGCTATTCTGCATTTTGGTTCTCCTTTGCTTCATTATCGCCGCCACCACTTGGACCAGAGCAGCCCGTTCGACCACCACGCCTGTACCCCCTCATGTGGCTCTTTTGACAAGGCCTTATGAGGACCACTGCAAGTGCATGGAAGTGGAGAAGCTTGTGCTGAAGAGTCACCTTTTTGTCTTTTAATATTTACTAAAAAGGATCCATCATGTATACATACATCAGTCAGTTTTATCTCCAGAAGGTGTGGCATCAAACATAGCACAATGTGTTCAATGCCCAAGACTCAAGACATTTGCACTCAAGACTCGAGACCCATGAGACCCATCACCTACCACGACTTAGGGATGCTGTCATGTGTCCCCATGTGAATGGTGAGTTATGTTCCTTCTTGAGTCACGTGTGATCAAGGAGATTGTTGCGAAAGATGATTTTGAAGACTCTTGCGGCAGCATTGCCAATTACAGCTTACCCAGTCTTGCAGCTCACATTCGTTGGCATCATCATGCTTTTCCCATTGTGCTTATACTCCCACCTCCTCCCGTACAAGACGATGGAGAAAGGTACACTGAATTGGCTCAATTTGACCGAGATTTTTCTGATTTCCGCGGGAATCATCATCATCAACCTTGCCAATTTGATTATTGCTAGCAATTCGCATTGGGCGACCACGACAGAAAGCCAGCTCCTGTTCTTCATGCTCATTTTGTCCTCAGCTGTGCTAATTGGATTGGCACTTGGCCTTCTCATCGCCGGATTCTTATTCGTAGAAATGTTCCTCGGAAATGGATGAATGATTGACCTTGGCTACCAATGATATCCGATAAGTTGTGCAAAAATACTTAACAATCTATTGAATATTTCAGGGGCTTACGCCCAACAGAGGGCCAGCAGGGGGCCCCAGGATGCAAACAGGTAAGAGTGGTGGTGGTTGTTGGGTTTGTTGGTGGTGTTGTGGTGGTTGTTGTAGTTGGTGTTGTGGCGGCGGCGGCGGTGGTGGTGGTGGTTGCTTTGACCAGAAACAGAAAATGCAATTAGTGCAAGGCAACTCGACGCATAACTGGCACCTTTGGGGTCATCTTCAGCCGTCTTGAAGGAAGGGGGGTGCCCACACGAACATGTCAAAAAGTGTGGTAGTCCGAGCGCGCCTTTGGACCTTCCAGTGGCCCGCACTAGGTTGGCGATCAGGGTGGCAAGCGCCCGGACCTGCTTATTTTTGTAAAATGATGACGTGTTTGTATTTCATGTTCGATTTTTTGCAGTTTAAAACATTAGAGTAATATGTTTTCAACATATAATTCGAAAGGGGTTGCATGATCCTGGTGGGAATAAACATTATATAATGGGGAGCTTGAGCCCCTGTGGGGCTGCCATTTTATATAAACACTATAGTTGTTATAGAATGGAAACCACTTGGACATGTATGAATGTGAAAATTGGACCTGGTTTTCCTAGCCTAACTGGGTCCTTTCATTTTATATATAACAAAATCTTCTGGCATTGCAGGGCAAACAACCAAGATTTGCCTGATGTGTTAGGTTTTCAGTTTATACAGATGGAGGATGATGGAGGGTTCTAAGCCTTCATTTTATAAAGAAAGAGTGGTAGAGTATGGTAGAGTTTGATTTTTTCATTTCTCAATTCGTTTTGATTCGAATTCCGTTGAATTGGTTCAATGGCATCAATCATCAACATGACTGTAGGGCAGCAAACCAGCAAGCTCAACATCTTGGATATTCCTGAACATTGCCACATCAGCAGTGTCTTTTCATTTTATAAAGCCCTAAAAACCTTGTTTTGTGAGGATCCACATGTGGAAATTGAGGGTTGGGGGGTGACAGTTTATATTGACAGAAGGTCTGTGGTTGTCATCAGGTATTCATTCTATAATCCGGGCGCCGGCCACGCGCACGTTCCCTTGCCGGAGGCCTTCGGTTGGTAACCGAAGGTTATATACGCTCACCGCCCCCGCCGCCGACCCTTTTGTTGGACCGCGGGGATACCTCCGCCCGACCTCAGGTTAAATCCGGTCGACAGATTTTATGTTATTTATATTTTATCTACCAGCATGATTGCGCATGATGTGGAAAACATCATTTTTTACAGTGTTTCGTGGCCTTCGGCGGGCATGACTTGCGCCTAACAGGGCGCCGGTGGTGTCGGTTATGCGTGCCGCGCGGAGAGGCTTAATCGACACTTCGTGGGTGTTGGGCACATAAGTTGCCTAACATATCCCCAACATAGGCCCAAGATAGCCAACATATGCCCAACATAGCCTCCAAGATGGCTCAACGTAGGGCCAACATAGGCCAACATGGGGCCAACATACGCCAACATAGGCCCAACCTAGGCCAACATAGGCCAACATAGGCCTAACATAGGCCGACCTAGGCCCAACATAGGCTCAACTTGGGCCCAAGATGTGCCCAACATAGACCACATGGGCTCAACTGGCCCAACCTAGGGCCAAGATGCGCACCAGATAGCTTAACTTTGCTCAATATAGGCCCCACCAAGTCTCAAAGAGTGAGAGAGAGAGAGAGACAGAGAGAGAGAGACAGGACCCAGCCCTGCACATACCCAAACCCAAATAGGCCGGCGCCCGGCTGTCAGGCGTAAGCCTCATAAATCATGAAACCTTACCCAAAACAATTTTATGTCTTATAATGGGGTGTCCAACCCCTAGCTGGAATTCCTTGGGGGATGTTGCATGAAAGATATATTGTTTGTTGTTTGCTGTTGCGGAGAATTTGCTTCAAAAAGGCGAAAGAAAGAGAGAGAGAGAGAGAGAGAAGGGCTTCGGCGTTACGGATACGATTGTGGTTGGATTTATAACGAAGTCTTTTCTTTATATATATAGTTTTTATAGATAGATATTAGATATTATAGCATTTATTATAGCAATATATTGTTTGAATATGTGTTATGTATGGAATTGAAATATATATATATATTGAATTACATAAATGAATATTACGTATATTTATAGATGTTAATAATTGTGTAATTTTTCATATTGAAATAACTTAATTGTAAATCGACGAAATAATGTAATATTATGATATTTAAAAAAATAAGAAATTAATAATATATTATATATATTATTTAATAAATATATAATTATTATAATTTTAATTCTGTATATTTAAAATAGATTGTAGATTTATTAAGTATCGAAATATAGATCGAATTATATTTTCGAAAATGCGATTTATTTAGAAAAAAAAATTAAAAATATTGATTATATTTTTTTGATATATATGAATGAATTAATTTATAGATTAAAAATATATAATTGATTAATTTATTATCGAAAATAAATATATATATTTTGAAAAGTGATGGATATAATTATTAAAAATTGGAAATATTAGTACAAAAATTTTATTTAGAAATGGAATTTTATATAAATTATGAGGAGAAAATATGGTAATTCTAGATTTATATTAGATATTTGGTTAATAAATTAAGGAAATAGGGAAAAATATATGGGAGTTGATCGAAAATTCCGTATAAGGATTTTTATATATAGTAGCTTTTCAGATATTATTAGAACCATCCGCGAAAGATTCGCGATGAGGCTCGCGAAAATATATATTTTTTTTTTTTTTTTTTTTTTTTTCCGCGAAAGATTTATCGAAGGTCATCGCTTTTATACGTTTTCTTTTCTAAGGGATTGATAAAGAATAGAAATAGAAGGTAATCTTCCGACAGAGTTGGTGGGCGGAAGTATCCCCATATATTAGAGACTAACGAATTGAAGCCTTAATATTTCCGTGCCCAGCCCTGGCAGTGCATAAAGGATTCTCCCCACTGTTATAGCCAAGCAACCTGAGTGAGTAGGCGCAGCCCTGACAATGAGGCAAAGACGGGCTGTGTAGATGTTTGCATACGGCTTCCCCGGGAAAGTGCTAATGAAATTTTGCGAAAGATCCGCGAAAATTTCGCGAATGTGCCACTAAAGTCTAGGTTCCCAGCTTGAGGCCCCCCACCATTCCCCAAGCTGCATCATCCTGTGTTGGTAGCTGGCACGAGGATTGGGTTGAATTGTGCCACAGATGTTGCAAGGGACCCTGAGTAGCTGTGGAAATATTTAATTGGTCATGCCGCAAGATGTCTGTCCCTATGACATATTCCGGTTTATATTAGCTAAACATGGTTGTAGGTCCATGCTTCGCGATGAGGCCGCGAAAGATATCTTTTTTTCCGCGAAGAATGGCCATTCTAGGATGAAAGAATATTGATTAACCACCATAAAAATAAAGAATAAGAAGAAGAAAACAAAAATAATTGCAAACAAAAATAATATATAAATATGTTTAATATGGGAATATCGTTGTCCGCACCGAGAATTGCATAATAACGATTTCTTCATTAAATAACCTTCTTAGGTCATTCGATTTAATATCTAGGCGTGTGGATATTGCTCTTCTATATAGGGCGTTGTCCATCCGTTTGTTAGCCAGAATATTGCAGGAGCGAAATTTTAAACAAATCATTTGCAGGATATTGCCCATGTATTTGTTAGCTAGAGCACTGCGACAGCGAAATCTGGAGTGAGGCATATTTTGTGCGCGAGTGTTTTGCCTGAACCTTGCAGCAGAGTTGTGGGCGTGGGAGAACCAGGTTCGTGTTTCCAAAGGTAGAGCGGGCCGGGCGCGGCGCAAAGTAGGCAGAAGAGAGCACGGCAAATGGATTAAATTTTTCTTTGAACATCTGGGAACCCAAAAGCCTCCACCGGCCCACTTGCAGAATGCGAGCACAGATAGAAAAGAGTGTCGACGCAAAATAGGCAGGAGAAAGCACGGCAAATGGGTTAGCATTTTTCTTTGAAAATCTGGGAATCCAAAAGCCTCCACTGGCACACTTCCAGAATGCGAGTACAGCATTAGAAAAGAGCAGAAAAAACTTGTACGTGCGGAGCGCATAGAGGATAATTTCCTAGAAAAAACCCTCGAAAATACCTTAGAAAAAAGAGTGGAAAATCTGAGGAAACCACAGAATTTGTTAGAAAAACCCTGGAAAAAACCCTCGAAAAAGGCATGAATAAATTTTACAAAAACCTTTGAATATCCTGGCAATCCAACGGAAAACGTTACAAAATCTACGAAAAGCCAAGGGCACTGGCAGGCACCAGGCCGCAACCAGGCCGGGATTCGAGTCCAGTACCATTTAGGGACCGTGCTTATTTTCCTCCGCGAGTGGAGAGGGTGCCCCAAGACGTAAATCAATTAGGATGGAGAAATGTTGGACATCAGGTCGGCCTTAATATCGCACTAGACGATGATTTATTTCTCGATTATTTATTCATTTAATATTAAAATCGGTTAAATTAATTTTTTTATCTGTCTAAGGATAATAATTAATAATAATTATAGATATCCAATCAATATCAACAGCATCAATAATTCCAGCAGTTCAAGAGGCCCTGAAAAGGTCCGCATTAAAAGACCAATGCCTGTAAGATCAGTGTTGCCGTCACGTGCCGTTTAATAGGACGTAACCTCTAGAAGTTGCTTGCAAATAACATTTTGGCCGAACGATTATCATAATATTGGCCATTAATATGTTTTTATATTAAATATTCCTATATTTAGAATTTAAAGAAATTTAAAAATGGACCCCCCATAGATTTACGATAAATAAATCATTTTGGAAATCAACCGTATATAAATTCATATATTTATATTGTTATTCGATTAGATCTATTAGAAATAATATAAATCAATAAAACAAAATTAAAGAAATTATATCATTTAAATATCAGAATTATTTATCTAAATATTTATTGATTATATATTTTATACCCTCTGCACCAGCTCTGGTGCAAAAGAGAGGTTTTTTTGAACAAAACCTGGTTTCTGATTTGTCGACCTATCTTTGCACATGGGCATATCAAAAACCGGGTTTTTGCATTATCTCATGATGTCCTGTTAAAAACCATCCCAGGATGGAAGCCATTTTGGCTGGTGGTATGATGTTTTCATATGAGAAGGCATGATCAAAGAATATCAAAGAGATGCCATAGCTCAAGGACACCCAGCTAAAGATAAAATACCTAAGCAACTCTTTTCATGATCCTTTCTATGGCCATCCCATCTATCGTTCATGCCGACTGCCCCGCCCACGAACGCTGATCCCGACTTTTCCGTGGAGATCCAGTTGTCTTGAGACAGCCGTGGGCCCAGCTCCAGCCTGCGCGCACGGAAGGAGTCAAGAACATTCAAGAACTAAAAAATCTGAGGACACACATGCATGACAAGAACTGGGAATTTGCTAGGAGCCTATTTTTCTATATATGCCTGCAGCTGCTTAGCTTCAATATCGATTCCCTTGGCCTTTCAACTTTGTGATGTCCAGCTCTACCAGGCCTAGTTGTGACCCTGAACTTGTCTACAGGACATGGAAGGCTACTGACTCCATCCGGATGGTGGCAATCCGCAGTGACCGTTTGTTTGAGTCACACAAAGGGGCCAAAGCAGAGCAGCCGCTCAAGATCTGCATTAAGGATGCTGTCCACAACATGTACGTCTTGATTCCTTTGTTGGAGAAGATGGCTTTAGATCCATCTCATCCTCTTCCCTACTTGAAGCCACTCGCACGTGAGACCCTTGTGCACATGTGTAATAAATTTGTTTTGCCACAGGTCCTCCCGCAAACATCATTGACAGCTTTGGGGCTTTATCTATATACGCACACATGCAAATCCAAGTGAAAGCTCACAAGAGGATCATTCCATACCATGCGTTTTTACATATACCGGCATGTTTTCTGGCATTAAGTCGGGGTTATGATTATGTTTAAGCTTCACACACCATGTGCACCGCATGCACACATATGTGGAACGACCAATGCATGGTATGTCCATCTTCCCGTGAACTTAAGGATCAAGCTTTTCCGGACCAAGATGAACTTGATCCCGCAGAAAGACAAAGTCAAGCTGGACGCATGGACATGCAAGTCTCTGCTAAGCTTTGTAAAGATGAAGACTCGCAAGCATTTGGGGTCGAAGGTGTCTTGGCTATACCACCTGTACCTTCTTTTGCTGCTAGCATGCCTAAGTGCAAACTTACTTTTGCCCAATATGCATGGAATGGTTATAGCGTTGTGTATGTTGAGCTGGGCACCACCTGTTTGTCGTGTAGTTCACTGCTACCCCTGAGAACTTGGACTTCTTGAAGATGCAGCGCATCCTTGATCCGAACATCAAGGCCCAAGTAGGGCAATTGCATTTCATGCCTTGGAGTTATTTGTTGTTTCCTTTTGATACAAATTCATAGTGAAAAAGGCTTGTCATTTAGATTATATCGATGTGTACAAGCATTGGGTATACCTGGGGAGGTCTATGAAGAGACATGTAAAAATTTAAGGTACTAATGCACATGCATCCTCTTCGTCAGTTATGTATATGGGCCGTGTTCACCAGCATTGCAGGCGGGCCTTGACTTAGACAATGACAACTCTGATGTTGAAGAAGCCGACCTCAACCTCAACTTGGATGAATCCAACCGGGTTTTTGATGAGGATGACCATGAGGTCGAGGAAGAAGATGATGCCTGGTTCGACCAAATGATCGCAAGCAGCCTTTCCACAGATGTTGTGGAGGATTCACAGCCGCTTGAGCCACCACCGCTTGGTGTCCAGGCAGCAATTGCTGAGACCCAGCTTGACCTACCTGACCTATTCAATGACTCGCAGGTACCAGATGCTTTCCCCAAGTCTCCGGCTGCAGATGTTCGTGGGCGTCCTGTAGCCCGGCCTCTTGCAGTTATCGACCTGGAGTCCCCAGTTGTGAAGGAGGAAGTCCATGCAAACCACTGCACCCCTGTGGCAGCAGTGGAATCAGCAGAAGTCAAGAGCAAAAGGGACTACGTTGCCTTTTTGAGGAAGCAACTCCAGGAGTTGGAGGTTGCACTTGGCAATGTGGAGCTTGGAGCTCATTTGTTCAAGAGCATTGCACAGGGCAATACTTCAAGCACCCAGAGAAAAAAGAAAGCCCAATGGGTCTCTGATAACACATTAAATATTTGTCAATAGCAGGAAAATGAAAAGGTTCCCAAGCAAGTTTGCTTTGAATGGGTGTGGATTGTGGTGGGCAAGGTTTGTTATATACTGCTTTTTAGGCTTCCCAAAAGGCAATACCAAATATAATCGTGTAGAGACAAGCGTGCTATGCTGAGGTCTGTCGAGAAAAGGGTGGCCCAGGATTTGGCAGAGGCTAATGCACTCGCAGCAAGTGCAGGTCCGATGTTGGTTGATGACACCCTCCCCCTTGGCGGAGACAATGACTCCACTTTGCCCATGGATGTCTCCACGACCATGACTACTTCAGTTGCAGCCATGTTGAAGCGGGATGATGATTCCCGGCTGCTGGACGCAAATATCGAGGACAAGTCCACAGCAATGCCACCTAAGGACCGGGTTGATTGTGCGAATATGCTGCAATGTTTTCCCTCAATGGTTGCGAATGTGTATATTTGGAACATGCTTTTAGCATGCCCATGTTTTTTAATAAACTTCAGTCGAGAACGTTCCAAAGTATTCCCTCTCAGTTCCTTCCATTGCAGGAGATGCCTGAGGTTTTGACCCGGCGGGTGCAGTTGGGCCTTGCAGCAGATCACAAAGAAGAAAGCAAGCAGGGCAAGGGAAGGGGCAAAGGAAGGGGCAGAGGAAGGGGCAAGAAAACAAAGACGGATGCTGTGGATCATGAAGAAGTGCCAGCAGCTCCTGCAGCTGAATCTTCATCGAAGCGTGGTCCACCAGCCACTCCGGAGCGCCGACGCCTCGACTTTGATGTGGCTGCATCGCCTGATCACCATGCATCGGACCTTGCTGAGAAGGGCACTCCGCCTGTTAGGCAGGAGAAGAAGCGTGTCAAGGCAACAGCCAAAGGGAAGGCCGCTGCCAAAAGTGCTAAGGCTGAGCAGCCTGCCAAACATGAACCAGACACAGGAAATGAGCCATCAACCAAGGAAACCAAAAAGCGTGCAAGGAAGGGCAAGAAAGCTGGCACAGAGCCGGCGCCAGAGCCAGCACCTTCCGGACAGCCAAAGCCTGTTGGAGAGGCTGTCCCTCATGCAGACCCTGCACCTCCTGAGGATGCTGTTGTGCGAGGAAAGAAGGGCCCTTCGGAACGTGCGATCAAGGGTGCTTTGAAGCATTTGGCCGAGGCCAAAGAGGATCCGGCTTCATGGCTCCATGTCATCAAGCTTTGGGATGTTATGGACAACATGGTGCACACGAAGGAGAACCCGAATTTGCCCAAAATGCAGTACTGGTCATACAGCATGTATTGGCAATCCGGCCGCGTGGGGCTTCTCCAAAAGAGGGTGGGGGAAGGCAGTGTGCATGTGTGCAGCTTTGGTGGCGCAACTTGCACGAAGATTTCTCTTCCACTCAAAGCAGCCTTTATGTGGGTTGGCGCCTTAATTGGTGGAGTCATTGTTTCCCCCATGATTAGCGGTAGGGCACTTCTGTCTGATGTGAGACACTTTGCTAGCAATCAGTGTGACCTCATGCCATCTTGGTGCTCCAAGATCTTTAACTGGCTGTTTGCAGGCGAAAGGTTGCTGGATGTAGGGCTGTTCATGCAAATCTTTGTTGTCAAAAGCTGGGGTGTGCCCTGGCTTAGGTCGAGTTTCTGGGCGGGGACAAGCCGGCAAAGGAGCTCAAGGATGTAGAGGATGCTACGGTTTCTGCTTACAAAGAAGCATTGACCGATTTGGTGAAAGCAATCTCAATCGCAGATACGGCAGGCAAAAGCCTGAAGGACTTTTAGTGTGATTTGGCCCAGGGGTGATTTTGCAGGGAGCTTCACTGTTCCCGTGGGCACAGGGGAAAAGATGTTACCTATTTCCAAGCTGTTGAGTTGGAACAACCTTTTCCAGTATATCAAATATTAAAATGATTAAATCTTAATACAAAAGGTGCCCAAGTTCTTACGAGATCACAACCTGCGGGCAGGGCTGCTTAGAAGTCAGGCCTCTTTAGCAAAGCTGGCACTGGGTTAACAATTGTCGTCCACATAGAGACTGCATGTGTTGCATTTCTCCTGTAGTTCGATCTTTTGAGAACAACATATATTTTGTTCATAAGACTTAAACAAAAAAATAAAAAAACAGAGTTTGTCGCAGTCAGCGCGGGCGATATTGTTGGGATTGGCTAGTGCTGTCACTTGCCAAGCTAAAGCTTTGGCCAGGGGTCATGTCTGGAAACCACCCAGCCCCTAATCCTGCAGTTGCTTGTGAAAAGGTGCTGGCAGTCCAAACCAGAAGATTATCCGCAAGTCCTACTCATATATATATTTAATTATGATATATATTTATATGCAGCTGCGTACATCAAGCACTTCTATATAATACGAGCGCAAGTCCATCTCCATATATGTGCGCATGTATTTGGATCGCCCGTCGGATCTGCTCCAGCCTTCCCAAATTGAGGTCGACGATGCCAAAGCGGAAGGCCTGGGAGGCCCGTCTTCAGGATAGATGTGACCCACGTGAAGGTACAGCTGGCCATTTATGGGGTTTTGGAGCGAGAATCGACGCAAGTGGTTGCTTGTGAGGGCTGTGATATCAAACGATACCCTTTCCAATCAAAGTGCGTAGGCCTTTTGGACACATGCCTTGTGATCCCAAATCGGTCTCAAGATGTCCACGCTGAAGAAGCATATGTTTTTCTGATCAGGCTCAACTGCTCAAAGCTTTTGTTTACATCTCAGATTTTGAGCATCAAGCTTCCTCTGCAAATTTGTGAGGGGCTTTTGATCTCTCGGGCAGGGTGGCTTGCCATGGGTCACCTCACTGTTCGAGATCTAGTGTGGAGGCTTCACTTCACGAAAGCCCCCAAGGCCCAACTCTCAATACTTTGGAGCTTTTGAGCCACCACTATCTATTGAACCACCGACCACTCTTTTCCTGTCGAAAGCGCGGCTCAGGTGCTGACTTTGCTGGTCCTTCTCCTCCTTTGGAGCTCCAATGTGAGTACACTCACAGAGGCATGTGTTCAAAAGGCTGTGTATGGAATCTGGAATTGTGTTCTTTTGAGGATGGGCTTTACTAAACGATCTATACACCCTCGCAAGTGTAAAACGCACTCAACTCAAGGTCTGAACCCTGAAACCCCGCAGTCATATGACTTTGTGGAACTGTGGGCTGGGAAAGCCCTCACCTCGACATGCATCCGCATGTCTGGGCGCAACACTGCGGCGTTGGATATTGAATACTTCAAGGTTGATGAGTCCCGCCCCAACCAATCCAATTATTTTGATATCATGACGCCGTCAGGATTTCTGCACCCTGGACTATAGGGTGATGGTTGTTGTACTGGGTTGTAGCGCCAACTGTGCATAACAAATTCTGGATTTGACAACTGAACTGAGGCTGGCCATGTCCACGTTGCTCAACACCAAGCATGGAAAAGCCACAGTTCTCATGGCAGTTGTTTGTTCATCCTGGATTGTGATTAACATGGGCTCCTCTGGCCGACACATTTCCCATCCTCTTGGCCGTGATGACAGCTGCCACAAGTACGTGGAAATGGCCAACAATATGGTTGCACGGTGTTTGGGGCATGTTGAGGAAAAGGTTTTTTTGCTATACCCACCAAACCTAATATGTATATCTGGTGGCCAAGTGTCCCTGCGAGCAGTCCCACCAGCCCTCCAGACCACTCCATCAATGTTGGGCCTGAGGATGTGTTTGCTGGTCTACCTGGCGGAAGCCATGAGCTGCACGTGGCTGGTGGAACAGCCGTCGAGCTCCCTGCTAAGATACCATCCAAGGGTGATGGACACCTTCAGCCTTTTCAGGGTCACTCGATCAGTACTACAGGACAAAGCTAACGAACACCTCTGCAAAAATTACCCCTCTTAAAGGTAATTCTCGGTGCCTTTTTCTAAAGGGTGTACCAATGGTTTCATGAAATGGGAGGTACATGGGGAGTACATCACAGCTGAACTCTTTGTGCAGCTGACTCTCTTGGGAAAGGCTGAAACTTTAAAAGGGTTTTAAAGGTCCGGTGCTGTCCCTCTCTATACATGGTAAAGCAAGGCCCTCTACAAGATTTTGGTCATGCTGAGAACTGGGAACTTGTCTAGCACCACCCAGCTGCCCCCCATGATGCAGTTCACCAAAATGAGGCTTGGTCTACCCGATGGTGGATGGCTCACTATGGTGGCAAAACGCCAAAACGGCATATTGCGTGGAGCAACAGTTCGAAGGTTGGCCTGTTAAACCAAGGCCGGCTGTCAGGGTTCAATTACAAGTCCAAGGAGTACCAACATCACAAGACAGCGCAAACAACTACCAAGAATGGTAAGAAGAAGTTCCAGGGGCGGAAGACACAGTTGAAAGAAAGCCAGCACCTTTGTTGTTATTGTGTTTTTTTTAGAATTCTTTGTTGACAAGTGAATGCTCACTTGACTGGTTTGGTATTTTAGTAGTGCTGCTCTACAGTCAACTGTTTGGTTTCAACGTCCTCCAATTGGGAAAACCTTTGTTTGTTCAATTCTCATTGATTGCAATCAAACGATAACAGATCTGCTTGAAAACCTTTTTGTCAACTGCATGCTTCGCACATCTAAGGCACTATCCCTACCGCTTTGGACTCCGCATGTTGAGGGTGCTCCGGGAGCTTCAATCCAGTGGATGCAAACCGATCCCTCCAGTACCAGAGGGGTTTGATCCCTTGGAGTGTTACAAGGGCATGCCTTTTGTAGACTGTTGGGATGACATAGACATGGTTGAAGTGTATAGATATATTCGAGGGAACAAATATCTCGAGATCCCACCCGAGTGGAAGGACCACCTTCTCACGGGCTAGTTCGACGATCTGCCCACACCTCCACAGCTTTCTTCAAAGCTGAATAGTAATTCGATGAGCCTGCACAAAGCGATTTTGTTTAGAATTTGGGGGGGTGGCCCAATAACCAGGTTTTCATATCCAAATAACCCGTAAAAAAATCCGTAGGCGTAAGGAACCCATAAAAATGCCGTATTTGACCCATAAAAAGCCGTAAGATCTTATGTAAAACTACGTAGTTTTGACCTCCTCCCCAAACCTGTGGTTTGATCTTTTTTGTTCGGTTCTGGGCCAACCCTACCATGCTTTGGAGTTCTGCAGCCAACAGATATTGCTTGTTGGGCAAGCTTTTGCCCGCAAGGAGTGCAATCCTGCAACAAATGCATATTGTTCATTCATGTGGGATATTTTCAGCGACTGACCAGTTTGGACTCGCTTCAACAAAAGCTGAAACGATGAGGTTCCTTGTCTATCTATATGCTCAAAAGAAGTGTGAAAAGCTTTTCCTGTGCACTAGTGTCCGGTTGTTTTTATGGCGGCCCCTGCATCATTGCAATCGAAGCAATGGAGTTGTGCATCATTGGCGGCTGGCAACAACCATCTCTTACAAGTTAAGAGTGAGGAATCCCGTCAAAGGCAGGCTGACCTGGAAGCCAGGAAGAAGGTGGGGGTTCCAAGCCTATATATAGTAGTAGTTCCCCTTAGAGCTTTTCCGCTTTGGGCAAGCAATTGAAATTTCATGGGTTCAGCCACCGCTTCGAAGGCCATTCAAGCGGAGATTGAGGCTATCCAACAGGAGGAGAGACAGCTAGAGCCTGTTCCAGAGGTCCCGGAAGTTCCTCGCCTTATATATATGTTCGATAGTGTATGCGTGCATTGGACACATGTCCATGCGCTTTTGACAAGCCGTACATATGTTTCCACCACTTGCCGTTTGCAAAAGACATGCGTGCTTTATATAAGCCCTTTAAACACTTGCCCCAGGTTACTGGAGATTTTGATGCATCTACCAGGGAAGCGGAGGCAGCCACTCGACTTCTCTAGTCCACAGCGTGTTTCCTATCAAAGACTCAATAATATGGTTATGGCATCGGACACATCAGCTGAGAAGGTTTGAGTATAATAGGAATTGTTTGCGCGCGGTCTTTGGTATAGTTGCTGTGATTGCCAACCAGCAGTTGTATATATATTGAGCCCATCCGGCCCCAGGTGATGGACGAATTGCCTGCCTCTGCCAAGCGGATGCCACCAAATTCTACCAAGACAACGCCTGTGAAGAAGCTAGCGGTGGTCAAGAAGCGTCGGGAGGGAGAGGTGCCCGGGGTTCGCAAGGGGTGTCTCCTACATGCAGGTTGGACCACCCAAAACATGTGGACATTGGAGTCTTGTGTGATTCAACTCTTTTCTGTTTTTTCTTGGTGCATCTGAGTCGTCGTGGGTTTGGTCCTATATGTGCATGGAGAGTTGTTAGGCTTCAGCTGACCGATCTGTTCACCCGACTGCAGCCAAGTCCAAAGCAGTGCCAAAGGACATGTGCGGGCTTTAGCCAACCACCAAATCAAATACGCGTAAATGAGGTCAATCATGCAGAGTATAAAACAATATATATTATATTTCTAGAAGCTGTAAACACATTCTTGGAATGGGTTGTGTGGGTGCTGTTTCACTGTTTTTTACCCATATATACCCTGGAACATTTGTTCAAGTGGAATTGGCAGCATGTTGGTTTTCAGCCCGTTCTTTTGGGACATCTCGTTCATGCATTGTGACACTATCCAGCAGGAACTGTCGGAGAATGAGCGGCTTCAAAGCCAACTCAATGAAGCTTTGGCCTTGATCCAGCAGCTTCAATCTGGATCCTCTACCACACCATCACCGCTCAGCAAGGGTACACCTTCGCCTTCTGGAACACCATCCCCAATTGTTTCTTGAACACCTACTTATATAGAGCGATGTGCATAGATATATTATATAAGTGTCTTAAATTGATGTCGTAACAACTCTCAACTCGACCCAGGCTCCGTCCTCGAGCGCCAAGGGCTCCTCTGATGCTGCCGATGATCAATCTCATGATCACGCTGAAGCCCTGCGTAGGTATGCAATGGTGGATGCCCGACTACGTCGGCTTTGCGAGAAGAAACCAAGTGGCAAACTCAATGTGCCACAGGACATCCACAACATGTGGTTGGCCGGGGGGGCATTCTCGGGACAATCTCCGAGCTCTCTTGGAGAAGTTTGAGTTCGACAAGGATGGATGGGAGTGTTTATAATGTGGCAAGTCAAATAGCAAAAAAACATTCAATGTTCCCAGTCTTTAGCAGGACCATTTGGTATGGAATCATTGTTTTTAAACTTGGCGAGGGGAAGTTCATCAGTGAAGTCACGGTCATGATCGAAAAGCGCCGAGAAAATTCTGAGAAGGTGAAGTCCGGCTGGTTTACACCCGATCAAATGCGCACTGAACTGAAGTGGGTGTCGACCCTTGGTTTTCTGTTTAAAGCACGCTTATATATAGGCTTATAATTCATATTCCTTTTGTGCTTGCCTTTTGACCAGCAAAACCTTTGTAGATATTCACTGACCTGAAGCAACACAGCTGTCATAGATGGTATATATAAGGCCACTGCTTGCATATTGAACATATATAATCAGGCCTTCTGTTTCGCCCATCAAGCTCAGGAGCTACATCAAGGACGCGGTGGCCTATTGTAAAAAGCATGGCTTGGTGAAGAGCCTTGGTTGGTACATATTGGTGTGCACAAAACTTGCATTGGATCGAAACACGCTCTGCATGGGATAGCAAAAAGTACACACATATCTGTGCTATATACAGGCTTTCATGACATGCCTTTCCAATAAGGAACGACAAGTACAGCAACAAGGTCTACAAATACTTTGTTGAGTATTCCGACACGGCGACTCTCAAGAAGTCATACATCGAGACTGAGAAGCAAAGCAGCACCCGTGAGGCATGGTATGATTTCCATGCATGTTTAAGTGAATATCTCTGGGTTATAGGAGACGTTTTGTTTTAGATAGGATTCTATGAACGCAGCCCTGCTAGGGGGAGGAAGTCAAGCTTGGAGGTGGCTTTCTTGAGCGGCCCGAAGAACCAGAGACCGCCCCTGATGAGTCTGAACGACACCAAGCCCTATCAGCGCAGGAAGAGGACCTAACTATGATTTTGCTCATGTATTTTGTTGTGCAACCCAAGTTCCACCACCAAGCAAAACATTTGTTAGTGCCAACGCCTGGTTGGTTCTGCCATGTAAGTGTAAATCAGGAGCTGCTGGTGGAGCAGAAATTTGAGGATGGTATGTTGGCAAAGATGAGCAAAATCACTGATTTGATTGCCCGACTTGAGGGGCTGTCAAAGAGCTCTCCAGAGGACTCAGCCCGCTGCACTAAGTGCACTGCTCAATTTTTTGTTCGGAGTTCATCTTCAACCTGCCTTGCAATATTTAGATTTTGCCTTCCCACATGAATTCACCTAAACCCATTGCCGCCCCAGGCTGGTGCAGGCCTTGGAGGCAAAGATTCAGGCTGCGCAAGCTGCCTTCGATACCTTCGTTGAGTGCCGATCGCAAGCAGGGGAAGCTACCAGAACCCCTGAGAACCTAGCATGCATGGCATGTGTTCACATGTTTCGAAATCCTTCGACAGTGAACCAACCGATCTTCACTATTGGACTCTTACAGTTGTTGCTGCTTGAAATCAACAAGCCCAGAAGACTTTTGGGGCTCAATTAATTTCCAAGGACTTCCAAAGAAGTCAAAGATAAGATGAAACGCGCAATGGGCATGAATCTCGTTTGCAGGTCATTGCAATGGACAATATTGCATGTGCTTGTGGTGTTTGTTTCTTTGATTCTCATCGCCCTGACATCCTCACCTCCTGGTTCCCCTGGGCTGAGGGCATCCGCGCTGGCTTCTGTCGAAGCTCAAGGGAAGACCTCTGCCTGCATCCAGCGCTGCACAGATTGGTTGTATGGGTCCTCAAAGAGGGGGTTGTTCATGTTTAAGTTGTTACATCTAAGGGCTTTGGAGAAAACCATCAAGAAGAAACTGAAGGAGAAGGAGAGTGAGACACAGGAAGATTGATGATCCACTGAGATCACTGGAGTTTTGTTTCAATGGCAGTTGTCGAAGGCATGTGTCTCTTGAACACATGCAGATCTTAACGATATTGATGCCTTTTGGTTCACAAAAGGGGTTAAAGTGGACCTGGCTGAACAAGTCGTGATGAGTGAAAGGGAAGGGTGGACAAAAGAGTTGAGCTGCTTTCAATGCTTGTGCACATGAACCACTCGCCGTGGCGGTGCCCGGCCTTTCCCATCTACCACGCAGCTTCTGCCATGACAGGTCCAGAACCTGAGCTTCATGGCTTCGCCCGCATGGTGGGCAACGGTGTTGGGTTGCCTGGATTGGGCTGGATCTCTACAGCCCTGTGGACCTATTGCCCTGTTAACATACATGTATGATATTAATTCCATAACTTTGAATACATGCAGGTTTGACCATCATATGGGCCCTTTATGAAATATATATGCGTTGAAGACTGGTTTTGCACCGGGTCTACGCCCCACCACTGGTTTAGCGGTGCAAGATTACATCAAGGCCCCAGTTCAAGCATTGGAGCCAACCCGACAATTCCATGGACGGGACACGACAGGACCATGGTGAAGAACCAATTTCATTACGTCAATTGATGTGCACACCTGTTGTGTTTGTAGTTTTTGTATTCTGCATGAGGGTTTCGTTCTGGAAAGCTACCCTTCTTGGAGACAATGGCAAAATCCGGGAACTCCTCTTGAAAGGTGCAAGAGCCCTATGACCCATCATTGAATGCAACTGCAACTGCGCCATCCCTCTACGCCTGGTTGGTAGGACCTACGCAATGGTGTATATATATATATATATCACTCATGCATGTACAATCAAAAGTGCAATGGATGTCTTGATGTGCTACGTTGCTTTGTCTTCGAACTGGCCTTCATGGAAATCTACGCAGAAAGGAACAGCTATCCTTAAAGGTATATATACACATACGCATGAGCTAAACTATTACAGTTGTTTCTCCTTTGGGTACAAGTGGTGTGGTCTTTTGGCTGAGTTTTCACCTGTCCGTTCAGACATGCTGAGGTCTCTTGCCGGGATGCTATACGCCAAGCACGAGTGACCCGCAATCCCTCTAAGGGACTGCAAAGGCTTGCAGCAGTGCCACTGAAGAAATCTGAGACTGGTGCACATCAAACTTTTAAAGCTTTTGGCCAGTCGCTGGATCTCAAGATTTCAAGAGTTGATTTGGTGAGCAAGAGCCGGTTTCCATACGTGTCTTTGTCAGACTGGTTGAAGTATGTGGTGGAGAATGACTCCTTAGAGCAAATTGTTGGGGTCAAGGATCTTCAAGACATGCAGCCGCTTTTGACTACGTTTTGGTCCCGCTTCCGCTTCAGTCACCCGCATCACAAGATGTATGATCCACTGGAGTCAGGTGCACCGCAGCACCACAGCATGACGATCCCCATCGTCATGCATGGAGACGAGGGGCGTGGCAGGAAGAAAAAACAAATTATGATACTCTCGTGGATGGGCTTGCTGGGAAGAGGGTCCAGTCGGTGCAGTGGGAGTGGCAGCTCAGGGGATCCAGAGCCTGTCTGTTCCTTGAATTTGCTAGGCAGCACATGGCTTACCCATTTCCTCCATAGCGTGCTTCCAGTCGGTCTATATAGCAATCAACCAGAGGCTTTGGATGAAGTCTTTGCATTGCAGGCGCGGGAGCTGGCCACCCTTTTTTATGATGGAGTGGAGATTGGAGGTCGGGTCTTTTACGTTGCTTGCGTAGGCGTCAAAGGCGATGTCCCATTCCTGACGAAGTGTGGTGGATTCATTCGAAGCTACACGAGAAAGCCAACAGCCAAATCCAGTCGCAAGGCAGGCGTTGGAATCTGCCACCTTTGCTGCGCAGGAAAGGAGGACTTCGAGTACCCAGTGCCATTCGAAGAGCTGGGTGTGGAGCATCCAAGCTGGCTTAGCACAGTTGGACTTGAAAAGCCCTACAGTTCAGACCCTCCATATGCCCTGGTTCCTTTCGAGCGTGATGGGACGGATGTGGGGAAGCTGTACCGCTTTGACATTTTCCACAACCTTCATCTTGGCCTTGGCAAAAGCTTTGTCTCCTCAGCTGTTTGCATGGTCCTGGAGCTTTGTCAGGGTATGTCCATAGGCGCAGCTTTTGGCAAGCTTTCGGAAGACTTCCGAAGGTACTGCGTGCGGAACAGTGAGTCCCCATATCACAAGACCCTGAAAGCTTCATTGTTCGGAGTACATACTGGCTTTAAGGAGTGCCCTGATGGTGCCTGGAGCAAAGGTGACTACACAAGGCTGCTCCTTGAGTGGTTTGGCGACTACTGCTCTCGCGAAGTGGGTGGACGAACTGATGATCCGGTTTACTTGCTATGTGTTTCCAACCGGCATTCTGTGTATTTGTTCTTTGGTTTGTAAGACTTGTTAACTGACCATAGAAAAGCTCTACAATTTCAATCTTAATGCTCTTCAGTGCAATCCTGAGGCTGAAGCCACTGATGCGATCAATGAGTATATGTCTGGCTTACATCATGAGAATCTTTTCATCAAGTCTAATCGGGCAATCTACCTTGGGAGGAAAGGCCTCCAATTTTTATTGAATTACTCAAAGCTGGCCCAGCTGACTTTCCAAAGAAAACAAAGGAGATTCCCTCTGGTCCCGAAAGCGCATTACTTACATCATCAATTTCTAGATTTGGTTCGCCAGGGGGAAAGGGGCCCATGGACACTGAATGTCTTAGCTTTTGCAAACCAAATGAGCGAAGATTTCGTGGGACGCCCGTCGCGACTTGCGCGTCGGATATCCCCCATGACTTCATCGCTCCGTGTAATTCAAAGAGCATTTCTTGCTGTTCGGAACGCGCTTTGCAATGAAGATGGTTCTTGCAAGAGTGGAAAGCTATGACCACTTTACCTGGTTTTGGGGCCATGTGACACACACAGGTATGCATGGTCATGTGTCTTGGCATGTTTGAATATATACAGCTCCAGGTTCTCTCAAGATCTCAGGCCACGGCTTTCCCAAATAGTGGCACACGGTGGGGAGCCAAGAGGCCGCAGCGAAAAGAATTGGAGTTTTGGGATGGGATTGGTTATGGTTTGCTTGGAAGGGATTCAAAACCACTACTAGCCAATATTACTAATTTCATCTAATTTCCAGGATTCACAAAACCGGGTTTTCATCAACATGACCTATAAAAAGAAGGTTACTAGAAAAAACCTTCCTTTTTCATGGTCGCTTGGGCTAATGGTATATAATATTTAATAATATTTTATATATTAATTAATTTATTTTAGATCCTTATTTATATTATTAATTTATTACATTTAAAGAAATTCTTATATACGTAAAACGTCCCTTAAATTAAATATTCCCGATAATCTATATATTATCTTTATTAATTATTCATTCCTAAAATCACCATGTATGGTTTATATATATAAAGGTGTTTTATATTTAGTATTAAATATTAATCTATATTTCAAAAATCGCAACGATAAATCGCATCACCGTAAGACTCAATAACCCTTTCTAATTCCTTAATTTAACATAATGTGGAAATTCATATGCCCTATCCAAATTATTCCAAAAAAATAGATTAATCGACCTAATAAATTCAATTAGCTTAGAATTACCAAATAAATCCAATATCTAAAAATATTTCGAAATAAAGAAGATTAATATCAATATCAAAATCTCGTAATTCCGACCTTCAAGACCGTAACCATAACCCGGACGACATAAACCAAATCTTAACCGCTTCACCCAACCAAGGCTTTAAAAATATATATATTTAATAGTTTCCGAATTGTCTCAAATTTATTAAAATAGAATAAATAGATTTATGTGTTCATAATATAGAAAATCTATCAATTAAAATGAAATAAAAAAAATATTTCGATTCATATTTAATTATTGAATTATTCTTTTACCTCCATATTAAAATTATTCAAGCATATTTAAATTATTTAGAAGTCTATTTTACAAATTTCAAAAAAGATTAATAAAATCTATAATTTATATATATATATATTTAGTTGCTAAAAAATATATCCGCAGATGTGAATATGGGGTGGAGACATATTGCTCTTGATTCTGGACATTTTGGTTCGACTATCTCCAAGCCGTCAGCCTCGCTCCGCCTTCCGCCTTCCTGCCCCGCAGAAACTCTTTTCCACCAGCGCTCACAGCCACGGGCGCTCACAGCGCTCAACCATCAGCTGTCTCAGCACCTCCTTGGAGCAGTTCCTCATCCTTAGCGTTGAACTCTGGCTGGGCGTCCTCCTCGGAGTCCGACTCTGGAGCGTCCGCCTCCTGAAAAAGCGGGACCGAACGCTGTGGTCGGTTTTTCAAGAAAATCTGGAGACTTGCAGAAGGGATGTCCAAAAGCTTCCGCCAAAAAACCACCCGAACAAATGGAGAAATTGACCTGCTCCTTGGTTCCAACACACCCACGTTCTAAAATCAGAAAATAAACACCCAGACCACTTCATTCTCGTTTGAATCGCAATCATGTTCTTCACAGTTACAAATAATCACAAGCTTGCCCCCCACAGCCTCCGCCAAGGAAGAGCACCTGAGCTGAAGAAATTTCGCAGTGACTGGGCAGAGCTGGAAGATGGCCACACGGGCTGCGAGCCCCGGCAGTTGCCGGGAAGCCTTGTTGAGGACGTAGAGGGAGCCTGGTTGGGAGGAACTCTCTGGGAGATCTGTAGTATGTATGCCATCGGTGCGTCGAAAGAAGGGAAGAGGAGCAATGAATCAAATCACATATTGATCATCTTGTCCCCGCCAGTGGGTGTTTTCCTGCAGTTCCTGCTGGGCGTTTCTTCACCAAATCCATGCGACTTAAGACTCGGTGGGATCAAAAAATCAAATCCTCCTTCACTCCCAGCCGCACGAGTGACATCTTCATGGCAAGACCTGATGGCACCTCGACATCGCAATCATACTCCCTAGGCTTCCAAAACAGTGTAAAATCCTCAATACTATTGAATTATGGTTGTTGGAATCCTACATCCCTAGATCCCCTCAACCATCCCCGGTGGCCAAGGGGCGGTTGTTCAAGGTCCAATACTCCTCCCTGAACTTCACCACCGAAACTTGCAAATCTGCCGGGCTCAGCTTTCCCTCGAGCAATTCTTTCACCACATCTAGCAGCCGACGGCCCTGTCCCGAGGGATTTGGGGCGCGCCGTGATGGTTGGTCAGTGCTCCCAACAAACCTTTCTTAACTTGGCGTGGGCTGGGTCAACCACCCACCCACCTACCTATTGTGCTACAGCCAGGTGCCACTTCTAGATCATCGGGTTGGATGGATGTTCATGGGCCTCTGTAGTTGGTCATCTGGACTCTCTTTGCTTCCAACGGCCATGGTCACCTTCTGACACTACAAATGTCCACTGTTGCATCGCTTCTCATGGTCGTTTCTCCACTTGCCCCAACTGCTGAGCCTTCATCTTGCCGTGCAGAAATCGCGCAGACACCGAGTTCTGCGTGAAGCGGATCTGCGCCACAGGCATCTCCGAGGCCTCCGGCACCTCTGCGCTGAAAAAAAGGCGAACGAAGACGGGCCCCTTCAGGTAGAACGGCGCCCGGGATTCGGGTACCCCCTTAGATGTGCGTGCACTTCTGTGTCGGAATTGTCGTGGCGAAGCTAGTATGTGGAGGAATGTGTTTCGGCTCCGATCCAAAAAGTCTGAACTTGAAACTTGGATCAAGCTGCGATCGACTGTGCCTTACTTCCGTGCAGGAACTCCTTTCCGCCGTTCTCGTGGTAGATCTCGTTCAAGAGCCTTGAGAGGAAGGCCATCTACCAGCCAAGAGCTTGGCCTTGCTGAAATACCAGAACTGAACTTTAGCTCCGAACGCATCTTTCCGAACTAAAGCCGGTCCACGTGACTTCTCCGGGCGCTTGAAGAATCAAATTCAGAACCAGATTCAGCGGCCACCCAACCCTCCGCCCCTTGCCTGGCCAAGACCGGCAATGGCGGGAAGTGCACCGGCGCGCCAGCCGCCCCGGCCGCAGCGGCAGTCCGCGGCGGCGGAACAGCTTCCGATGCGTCGGCATCCTGCTCCTCCATCTGCTCCCGCAGCAGGGGCAGCGAAGGGAGCGCCGATGTGGAGGCTGCCGTGTCCTCCACAGTGGTGAAGGTGAATGGGGATTTAGATGTCCTGATTAGCATAACGAACTTGAATAGAAGACTCTTTGCTGTAAGAAAGGGAGTGGACAGGATCAACGAGCTACCACCCACTTAAGAAGGATGGTAGTTTGCCAAAATTCTACCACGCGATAGCCAGCCAATCTCACGGCGAGTTAAAGCAAATCACCAATCAGGAGCCTACGTTTACTATGTTCCCACAAAGTCGACCTGTGTGGCGTAGCAACTCAAAGTGCCCTAGACATCCAAGTCCGAAAACAAGGCTCAATAACATATTTAACAAATACCTTTCTTGGGCCGTCCTCAACGTGGCTTGCCGCGAAGGGCCAAGAAGAGAGAGAAACCAAGCTGTCATTGCATAACCCGAGTTGAGGGGATGGGCCCCAAACCAAACCATTCGATGGCCCAGCTACCCCCATAGATCCTGCATTTCCCGCTTCACCTTCATTACCTTCATGCGAGGCTCGTCGCCGCCCTCCAACGGCCTCTTGCCTGGCAGAAGAGAACGGCTTGGCGCAAAACCAGGAATCCACAAAAACCCGGACGAGCCAAGACCTCTCCATTCAATAGTGGAGGCTGCAAGCAATAAAAAATCATTACATGTGTACATCTCTACTGTTTAGAGTACATCCCAGACTGCGCTCTGTGTACTCTCTCTCCTTTTTCACTAGCACTCTCTGCAGTTGTGGTCTCTGCACGTCGCCCTGACGTTGTTGCGTTGGAAACTCACAAAGTGTGAGCAGTGTTCATAGCCACACATCCATTCCTGGATGAAGCTTAGATACCCATCTATGGAGACCCGTCCACCAAGACGTATCCATAGCGATGTATCTACCCAACCAGGGAACCCCCCTGGAATGAACACCAGACCTGACAACAGGTCGCCCTTAAAAGATACTCCCAAGGCGGGGGAACCAACGTGGACCCGGCCATAGGGGTGGGCTGGGTGGGACAGAAACTCCACTGTCCCACTTTTGGCTTGAGCCAAAATGGACAGTGTACCAAATGTAATGAATACTGTGCACCCAAACCTGCCCAAAGCTCGACACAGTTTTACATTACATGTGTACATCTCTACTGTTTAGAGTACATCCCAGACTGCGCTCTGTGTACTCTCTCTCCTTTTTCACTAGCACTCTCTGCAGTTGTGGTCTCTGCACGTCGCCCTGACGTTGTTGCGTTGGAAACTCACAAAGTGTGAGCAGTGTTCATAGCCACACATCCATTCCTGGATGAAGCTTAGATACCCATCTATGGAGACCCGTCCACCAAGACGTATCCATAGCGATGTATCTACCCAATGCATTTCTCCCAACGCACTTTAAAGAAAGAGACCGGCTCGCAGAGTGACGGAAAAAGGAAAATACCAGAGTGGCTCGAAATAGGTGGCCACTCGACTAGTGAAACCCTGGTCGTGGTGCCATCTATCCGCGTGTCCTTGACGGGAAATCGCGTCACTCCAATTACTCTTGGAGGGGATCCACTCAAAGTAAATCCAGCAGCGAAGTGAGAACAAAAGAATATGGATCATGTGACTCATATGTTCGAGGTCAGGACTATCTGATCTGCCTTTGATGAGCGCCATCAAAGCAGCAGTGTTGTCAATGTACCATGTGCCGCGGCGATTGCGGAATCGCTCAGGTGTGGTAGTCAACGCAATGAGAACTTGCAATAACTCTAGCTGCGCTATTTTGGCATCCCCTGGCGTCCAAAGATCATAGATGGATGAGGGGAGGTGAGACACAAACCCAAGCCGGATCTCCACGGCCTCGTGGAAGAAGACAAGGAGAAAACCACCCGTGCCTTCACCTGGGGTCTCCAAGGCAGCGTCGGACGCTGCGACAAAGCGCTCATGGTGTCGTGGCCAGACATCAGATGGAGATCACAGCCTCAAGAATTTGGAAGCATTGTCCAATTGCAGGAGTCAGTTGATCGCCTCGGACAAGTTGGCGCTCCTTAACGGCATGGAGGCCCCCACATCCAATTCGTCCGTAGACACCTGATCGAAGAAATTGGCCAATCCGTACAGCTTGGCAGCAACACCCGGATTCCAGGCGTTCCCTCGCCCAAAACGAGACGTAGCCTCCTGAAAGGGCGGCTGAAAGATCATGGTCTAGGCCTAGAAATAGACCTTTATGATTCATAGCCTGGCGCTTCTCTTCCGTAAAGGGGGTGCCCAGGAGCTGGTTTAAGACACCAAAAGCCCATTGAGCCGACCCCCGTTTGAAGACCAGTCTTGGATTGAAGCATCATCGAAGTAGAGCGATACCAGGACGCAGGCGTCCGAGGGCTTCCACAAGTCGACTGTATCGGTTGAATGAGGTCACTGCGCGAGGAAGACCAAAAAGAAGACCAGCGTAGACTTGAAAAGCTGGGGCAGCCCATTCATGATGCCAGAAGGTAACCACGCATCCCCCCGTTTCGGTGACCCCCATGGGACTGTGCCGATAGGCATCCGGCCAATCTTCCCCACCTGATTCCCAGGTGTCAGTGGCTGCAGCCTGGGCTAGCTCTGGTGGGCTCATGTGACGTAGAACTTGGCTGATGTGTTGAGCCGGCCGGAGGGGCGAGCAGAGCACCAGCTTGTTGGCATCGGATGACCGCAGGGTCTGCCCTCCTGCATCGGCATTGTCGATGATGCGCTGCTTACCCGAAGATTGGGTAATCACACAGCGTGGAATTAGGCGGTACGGCTGCCCATGCAACTGCTGACGCAACTGTGAAAGCGTCAATGGAGGTGTACAAAACCCCCGGGCGGCGTCCTTCGTAGATTGCTCGAGAAGAAACTGATCATCTTTGCCCGGCTTGAGGGTAGACAAGATCTGGTAATTATGCTCGTCGCAGCCCAACAGTACATCCGCAAGAGTGATGCGGTCAGCAGGTTGAGATGGAAAGACTCCGTAACACGGCACGTGGCCTACCGCTGGGAGGCCGTCAATCAGCCCGAATGGATATGTGACATCGGGCCACGAGGTCAGCAGGATCAATAGGGCCACAAAACCGAGGTCCCGAGTGGCCGTGGTAGCCTGCAAGGCTATGGGTTGGAATTGCCGCAGATGTCGCCCCACTGTGCACCAACGCCGATGGAGCTCCCGCAGTGCCCCCACTGCTGTACGGCGAAGATCTCGTAGATGGCCCGGTAACGAGTATGGCAGTCGGCGGCAAAGGCCAGATCCAAGTCCAGCACCGCTGGTAACTCTGTAGGTAGCAGATCTCGGCCTCGCTTCAAAGCTTGAGCGAAGTGTTCATCCGGGCTGAGGTCGTAGGATAGCAGTGGAGGGAGCGCTGCACGCTGGTTCAGTGCGCCCACCTGTTGGCCTTCGGCAGTGCGGAGAGTTTGGCGTACTTGGGCATCAGCCAAGTGAGGGCCCAGCGGCCCATCCGTCTCGTAATGCCTGCTATGCAACCAAACAGGGAATGCGTTGAACGGGGCGGCATTGATAATGTCCTCGACCATAGGGAACTGGAAGTTCGTGAAGAAGTGGGCTGGGTACAGCTTGCGAAAGGCTAAGATCAGGGCTTCCTGGCTCCACCAACGTGTAGGGCTCGTTGGGAGGCCTTGTACTGTGCGGATCACCCCCGCAGCGATGACCTGGCGTGCTGGTGGGGTCCCCCCCCGACTGAAGCGATGCATTGTCTGACGACCGCTCGGTTGGCTCCTCTCGAAACAGAGACCAGCAAGCACATCTGCCTCACAAGGGTCGCAGAATGGACAGTCGCATACAAGCACTTTACCCTGAAGTTCGCGTAGGTCATTCACCAGGCCAGACTCATAGAGGTGTGCGACATAGTGCCATAACCAGTCCATTGGACTGACTGTTCAGACCTGGGATCACCGGGGAGGCCCACTTGGTCTTCGCAAGACGATGAGAACCCCGGCCTTGGCCCACATACACATGGTGTGGTGGCAACTTGCCTTTCTCGATGAGGATGTCATCCACTTGAGCCCGGCGGGGGATCCGGGCAGCTTCACTAGGATCTGGTGGGTACAAGCCCAGCCCGAGTGCGAGGGGTGCCATCGCCCACTCTCGTAGGGCTCGAGGATCCAGGTCCAACCAATGCTCGCGGGCTCCGACACACTCGAATTGTGGCAGGCGTGGAACATGCAGCTTATAGCGCGACCCACGCGCCCGGCCCACCATGATGCTGCAACTGCAATAGCAAAGGCCAAGACGGCCGTATACTCGGCCTCTTCCTTGGATGGGTAGATCGTCTGGCCTTCCTGCAGATAGGGGGTCCACTCGTTTGGTGCATGAGAATGGTGGCAAGTCAACGGCGGCCACTGATCGATCTCCTCGATGTTGTGGCGTAAGCACTGTGCCTTGCAGCGAGCGCCTCCCAGGCAGCACGCATCATGGCGCTTGTCCTTCCAGCATCCAGCATCCATCATAGAACGCTCGGTGGATTCCCACCAATGTAGACTACGCCATGGGTTTTCTCGTACAGACCCTCCGCCCCGCTCGGCTAGCAGCCGAATCTCCTCGAGGATGAATTCACAGGCTTGGTTGTCCGCGCGGACTCGCTGAAGGTCACGACCCTGGAGGGTGGGCAAGCCATCAGGATGTTGCTCGGAGCGCAAGGGTGCTGGACACGGGCGGCCATCTTCAAACCGTCTCGGGATCTCCCTGCCTCTGCTCTTGGTGGAGCAGTCGAAGGCCGCGCAGATGAAGTCAACCTCGGAGAGCTGGTCATGGAGTGACTGCTGACGTAGTGGATTGGAAAGGTCATGGGACTTGTCCAACAGCCAGTCCACAGGGTGCGCCACCCGCACCAAAGGAAGCCCTTGAAAACAGGTCAGCAACCAAGGGACGGGGAGCATCAATGTCCCCTAAGGGGGAGTCCGTCCCGTCCTCCCCTCGGGGCCCCATCACTTCTTCCCGCCGCGACATGCGGCAGCGCCATGCCCAGGGGCTCCACAGGCGCGCTCCTTGCGCAAGACCAAACCACAGCGGTGCTGACCATTGGTGCAATTGGCTTTAGTCTTGCATTGGCCATGCTGGAAGGCCTGACAGAGGCGCGTACCGTCCTTGAGGATCTTGGCCACCTGGCGTCCGTTGATGGGGTTGCCCAAGGTCCATCGATTGGCTTCAGACTTCACTGGGGTAACCGGATCTGAAGTAGGTTTGCTCGAGGGAGTTCCACTTGTGGTGATTGGGACCGACCAGTGGGCATCACGCATGGCATAGACTTCTTGGATGACACGACCCAGGCTCTTCTGGCTATCCCTAAAGCGGGCAACCCACTCCGATCGTTCATCATTGTCTCGCTGCTGGAGCCGCTCGAGGCGCTGGTTGAAGGGGACCAGGGACACGCTCCTTTTGGCTCTGTAGAAATACTGTTGAATAACGTCCACCGGAACTTCGACATACTCTACAGAATTGGACCCCAACCCCTCGGCTATGCTAGGGGCAGTCGCACAGGAGGCGGGCCCGGCCATCGCGTAGGCCAGAAGTAAGGTCCAGAGCTTGTCCAGGTATAGGAGTTGGCATCCCGACTGGCAGGTTCATCTTCCTCAGCTTCCTCAACATACAAAGAATCGGCGATCTTTCTTTTCTTTTGGGTGGTGGCCTGCTGAAATTGGAGAGATTTCACTCGCCAAATGTTGTACACACACAACATGCGTTTGGTGAGTTCTCGTGTAACCCGAGAAATCGTGGCATCAGCAGGGTGAACCTCAGGGGGGAACCTCAGCTTGTAGCGGCGCCAAAAAGTGCTCTTCAAATCTCGGAATTCGGAGTCGCCCAACAGTGCATCTAGATCAGATGCCGAGATGCGAGACCGATCCTGTTCGGATTGTTTGAAGTAGAGCGACACGGCGGCCCACGCCCGACGAACCCTCGCCCCCTGAAGATTGGCGTCCTCGCCTAACGAGAGTTTGGACAACCACGGTTGCACCTTGTCCTCCTCCAGATTCCGGAGCCGGGCGTTGACCAAGGCATCGGTGACCGCTTCAGCTATGCTGAAGTTGACCCCTAGCTGGCGGAAAGTAGCCGCGGCATCCGCACCGTCACTCAGCACAAGTTGCAAGCTAGACGCCATGCGGGGACACAGGGACCCTCCCTAGGGAAAGTGAGGACCCACCTCACACGGTGGTACCACGAGGACCCACCTCGCCTCTGTTGGCCAAAAGGAGCTGGCGAGGCGGAGATCCTAGGTGCACGTGGACGAAAACATGCAAGCGGTTCAGTTCCGGAAACAGCAACAGGACAAGCAATCACAGCTCATGGCAAAGGCCTTGAACCCCAGGCCACACAGCAGTCCTGCTGATTCGGGGATGACCCCCCCAAACTGAAAAAGGGGGGCGACACGGCAAAAGACTCACTGACCCTCAGGGCTCTTTCCGCTGGTGGCGCGCTCTCCGGTCGCCTCGGTAGTCTACACATGACGTAGTCTACAAAAAGGGGCATCGACGGAGGCCGCCTGCTCTTATGGGGTGCAGCCTTCCCGCGACCGCTATAGGCCGGTCGGCTGCTCAGCAGCTCACAGTGCCGCGCTTGCCAGGAGGCTGGGGCTTTGCTCCACACACAGGACGGGCAAACGTACTCGCTTCCAAGAAGCTGCTGTAGAAGTGGGCGTCTTTGAGCCGCTGCTGAACTCGAGCTTCACCTTGCTTGAATGCGCACAGAGCGACGCGGCCTTCAGTGCACAGGTGGATGTTGGAACGTCTGGAAAGCCCCGCAAAGGCGACGCCCATTCTTCAAGAAAGCCGTCAGCACGCGGCCACGGATGGCCTCCGGCATGGACACCGTCGGGCGCAGAGTGCTTCCTCGAATTTTGTTAGCCGCCACGGCTGCGACTCGGGCCCGCGAGAACTGAAGATGGGTCTTCAGCGACTCCTTGGTTGGCTGGGCGGCATACCGCGTCTCCTTGTCCTTCGCTATGGACAGGGCGAGCTTCTCTTTGGCCACCTCACGGAAACCATCCAAGTCGGCAGGAAGCACCTCCTCCCAAAAGCTGTGACCCTCACAGCTGTGGGCCACTGAAGTTGCCAGGATCTTGTTGCGAAGCGACTGGCCATAACGGGCCGACGAGTAATGAAGTGCCATCCCAGCCTCAGCCGGCTCCTTTGACTTGTCTTGCCAATCGCCCAAGGAGCAAAGGTCAGAAGATGACATGTTCAGAATGTGGCCCACGGTTGGAAGCATGCGCCTCCATGAGTAAGTGGTCAACTGCTCAGGGTTGTCCAAGAACTCGGAGAAGATCGACTGGCAAAGGTGTTGCGCCTCAGCAATGTTCCAAGGCGTCCCACGCCTGTCAAAGCAAATTCCCGAACTCTTCTGGGCCACAGGAGAAAGGGCCTTCCATTCCTTGAGCCAATCAACAGTCCAGTTGAAGCCGGAAGCAAACTCGGCAGGAGCACACTAGTCAAAGCCACCTCGGGCGTGGCGTTGCTTACCCTTGCAACAATGGCCATGGAATACCATCGGACTGGCGCGGCGAACAGTGGACCGGCGAAGGTGTTGGTACCTCAAGCAACCAGTAGCCACAAGCCAAGGCCCTAACAGGCATGTCCATCGCGGGTCCCCCCCACGGCACATGCTCTCAATGCGCTCCTCCAACAACTGCAGCATGCCGGGCTCCACAACAAGGGCTTGGCTCTTCGTCGAGGTGGCCTTCTTCTTCAGCTCAGGGGAGATGCGAAGCCGTCCGATGTCCCAAGGAACTCCAGAATGCTTGCACAACCAGCGAATCGCATTGAGCTCTCGGGTAGGGGCCATCGTCCCCTGATGCAGGAAGTTGTCCATGTCCACGAAGGCCGGAGGGAACGACCTCCCTCTGTGGAGCAAAAAGGCGTGGAGCTCCCCGTAGGTACGGAGGGCATTCTGAATCGTCACCGACTCAGACTCCGCCACCTTGGTCTGTGCCAGTCGAAGGACTGATGCCTGCCAATCACGCTTCAGGGCCTCGGTCAACAGCCCGTCCGGCTTCAAGGCGCCAACCGTCAGGAACACCTTCTGCAGGGCCAACACCTGGCGCTGAATGGATTCAGGCTGATCCTGGACTGAAGGCGTACCCCCGCCTCAAGTGGAGCTTCTTTCCTCTTACGAGCTAGCGGAGGACGTGTGTCCGGTACCAGAGGTCCCCCCTCGATCAGACGAGCCGCTGCAGGAAGAAGTTCCTCCTGTTGTGCCACACGGACTGCCAGCCAAGCATCTGCCAAGAAATGGCCTCCCACGGCCACAGCTTCCTCCCAGGTGGAGAAGGCGAAGGCGAAGTCCTCATCCTTCTCGTAGCCCCGCTCACGCCGCCAAGTGATGGCGCGAGCTCCTGCCACACGGGCGAGGCTGTCCTCCGCCCGCCAACCGGCGGAAGAGGCTGGCTCATCCGGGGGAGCCTCCACGGCTCCAGCAACTTGCGCACGGTACACCATGGCTTGCGCACCCGCAGAACTACCCACTATCGTCATCAGACGACGAAAGTTCGCGGCAAACCGGACAGATTTGGAGCACTGGGAAACAGGCGGTACACACTCCTTTGATACAACCAAGGCACTGCCGATAAGTGGGATCACCACAGCCGCAACACGCCGGAGGAAACTCCGTCTCTCCGTTGATTGAGGACCCCAACCATCCACGAAGGGCTCAATGGGCACGAATCTTCGGGTGAAGGGCGTCCAGATGGCAGCGGGGCACGAAAGGGGTTGGACCACAACCCATGTGGTGATCCCAAAATCCAGTGTCGCATGTAGTAGAGAACTTCAGATTGGAAGGTTTGCAGGGGCGAGAGGTCAAAATCCCCGGGAACCTTCTGCTGAAACTCCCACAGGTAGGAGGGCACAAAATCGTCTGCAGAATACGGGGTCCGGTAAGGCTGCAACAAGAGGAGGTCCATTGAGGCATCCAACCGCGCATGCCTATCCCAGGCCTGCTGAGGAGTAAACCCTGGCGGCACGATCGTCCCGCGCCGGTTCCAAATCCCGACCCACGGGAAGACATAGCCCCCTCGCCCCTGATCGCACCGGGGAGGCATACACTCTTGGGACAGACTGAAATCCGCATAGGGGGAAAACCAGCTGGCCCGTCCCCGGGCGTGAAGACGGAGGCATGTGTTCAAATAGAACCACCGAGCTCCAGAGCCGCAACGCGCCTGCCCGGTCCCCCCGGGCCAAAAGGGCATCGACCTGGCGACGGAACTCGATGAACGCGGCGGACGAAAGCACCTCAGCATCAGTGAACATGGTGGCATTCACACCGACGATATGCTGTGAAGCCATCCACAGCAGACACAGCAAAACTTAAGCAGAACAGAAATGTCCCACTTTTGGCTTGAGCCAAAATGGACAGTGTACCAAATGTAATGAATACTGTGCACCCAAACCTGCCCAAAGCTCGACACAGTTTTAACTAAAGTCCTGTAAGACGTGAATGACCAAAAAGGATTTGAGCTATGTATTAGTTCCTTTTCCAGGGGTTCGGGAGCTTTTCCCTTAATACCCACTCCGCTGTGGCCTTCTGCGCCGATGGCTGGCAGGCCACTTGGCGGCCCTGGCGTGCTCTTGGCACGCACGCCCGGCGTGTTCCAGGCGGAAGGCCCGCCTTGCTGCGCAGCCCACTGGGGCTCTTGGGATGGCACCGCCTCATCAGCTTCCAGCATGGAAGTGTCCTCCAGGGGCAGTGATCTAGCACACGGTGTGTATCCAAGGTTGTGTACGAATTGCATGAACGATGTCAAGTAAAGATGCCTATTGCTGCGTCGTCCAACGAACATGCCCTGAAAAGACCTTCAAAAGGCACGTGGTCGGGTACACGAAGTAACCTCAAATCACCAGCTCCAATGCAAATCATATCACATCCATGACTATGCGACTATGCAAATTTAACTGCTTCACCCCGCACCCATCTCAAATGCTTCAAATTGTCACATCGAAAAAATGCAAAAACAAAAACACCCTGCTCCTTTGCCACCTCTGGGGTAAGCTGCACCGGTTTCTGACTTTCGGCAGCTTCTGGAAGTCCCAGGCCTTTGACCTGTCAGAAGGGTGCATGGATCAGAGCGAGGTATGAATATATAATTGTAGTAAAGTAGTACCATAGGTATCCATCGTTCAGTCTGGTGCCAAACTTGAATTACGTTGTTCTACATGTGTGTTTCAAGCGCCTAATGTCAAATTATACACATACATTTACAGTTAAGTTTCATTGCGTGGCGTCAGATCTGCCAGGAGCCCGTTAAACTGAACTTTTGCGGCCACAAGACGCAAACAACCTTCAACTAGCTCTCCAACCACGAAACTACAGCCTTAGCTTCCCCTCAGCAAGATAGACACGTCGGTCGTCTTAGAAAGTCGGAGCGGAAAAACAAAACGCAACCTCCATCGTAGGCCTACGACCGCAAGGCTGTTTCCCCCAAGACATACCGGTGTAGACAAACCGCTGGCGCCAAGTAGCCATGAAGTCCTTCACCTCCTGGCGATGCTTCTTCTTTGTCCACGGAGGGATTAAGATCTCAATGTCCTGGCAGACCCAGATCGAGGCGCCGTGCCAGATTAAGAGAACTCATACAAGTCGAAAGATGGAAACCCCCTTGTTCTTTCTGACATGCTATTTGGCCCACCCATCGTGTTTGGCAACACCCAGTGTTTGCTTCAGTGTTTGCGCAGCGCCCCAGGTCACGGGACGACGATCTCCTGCCAGGAGGCCATCTCAAGCTGCTTCAAGATTGCCTTTCCTCCACCCTCCTCCGAGTGCAACCACAGACCTGGCCGACCAAGATCTGCATCGGCGCATCGGCAAAAAAAGAACTGTGCTTCGGTGGTGCGGCCAAGAAGTAGTGGGCCAAAGAAATGGGTGTTAGAAAATTTCACCCGGTTGACCATCGCAAGACTCGCAACCGCCAATCACCAATCATCGAGATCATCGCGGCGCGGCGCGTTCGACCTACATGCGACAGGTAAACCTGCATCGCGCCGAGGTCACCACTGCGAGAATCAGGGTCGTTTCTGGAAAACAGGGTGAACTTCAAAGGTTGGTGGATGTTGAAGTCACTGTGTCTACAACCCACTCGTTCTGCGGATCCATCTGCTGTTCGAAGTGTGAACTGTGTGTGGAACAAAAATGTCCTGAGCATGGCAGCATGGCCCAATTCACCATGTCTCCCACAGCGACGTCCAATCAACTCCAAATAAGGCGAAAACAAAGTGCAGTTGACTGTAATGATGAGTCAACAATCGTCTGCAAGGCAGTACTCTGCAGGCTTGAACATCATGTCTGTGAGCCTTTGATTCGTTCTCATCTATTGCAGGAGAACCGATGTTCAACTGTTCAACTGCTAAAGAATTCTCTGCAAGACTTTGAGACTTTGAGCCACGGGCCACATTCCCGCCTTGCCTTTGATCCTCCCCGAAACCCCGATTCCACGATACCTCACCCCGTGGCCCCACCTCTCTTCAATTCATCCATCACCCGCTGCGTTGAGATCCGCTGCTCTTGCCACTCCTCAGCCAAGTACTTCAGCGCAGCCAGGTAGGTCTTGGAGTTTGCAGCTGCTTGCTGCAGCCGCACGAGGATCAGCTCGGGCGCGGGGACCAAGGCCACCTGGCTCGCTGAAGTGCATGGCGCTGGGACGCTTGTGGCGGTCCCGGCGACTCATGGAACCCCACGGGCGACTGTTGGGGCGAGTTCTGCTGGTTTGGTCGCTTCGGCCCCGACGTCCCGGACCGCCCAAGCTGTTCCGGCGCCGAGGTGCCCCCAGAAGACGCTCCGCTAAGTCTTGCGCCGCCTTGCCTCAGCTGACGAGGTTTCTCCAAAGCTTCGAAACTTGGAACCGAAGCCTTGTGGCAGGCCAAACGAGGCGGATAGAATTTCAAAAAAGCATAGAAACAACCAGACAGGGCGGTACCATGCGGCGCCCACTTGGTCCAAACCCAATGGTGGTCTTTCTTGAACCTGCTGGTCCGCCACCGTATCACTGTGAACGCCTAACCTGAACTAAGGGGCCAATGTCCACGACGTACTCACGCCCAAGCAGGTTTAGGAAGGCCGGCCCCAACAATCTCCTGAAAACAGCAGTCTACCGCCGTTTGCACAAATACACTGGATGGATATATCAGTTCCACTTCCATGAAGAAAAACACAACTATATTACTATATAGATATATAGATATACTGTAAATATACAGTACGTATATATATGGCACAAGTTCATGATTCACATCTTCCCAGAGAAGCAGCTCAAATTCCCTGCGTTTGTCGATGTGTTTCTCTGGAACTTCCAATCCCAGTCGTCGAACGCCACTGCCCTCAGTCGGGAAAACGAAAAAAGTCATTTTGCGCGTCGAAACTCCTCGTCGCGACGTTCATCTTTCCGTCCACGAAAAAAAACGAAACCCGGCAGTGAACCCGGCAAAGTCCCCCCGGAATGGAACGGACTTGGTATTGCCCAATCAGAAACACCTACAGTAAACTTCATTTGGCGCATGCCAGCTACGCGCACCGACTTCGGCTTTAGGCGCGAACTCACAAATCTTTGAGCTTCAGAGGGTTGGTGTTCTTCCACCAGTCTTGAGGCGTTAACGGATCTTGGGAGATTCGGGTCGTATCTCTCCATCCCGATCTCCAATCTCCTGGTCTGATCCTCACTGGCACTCCGAGTATGCCCTGTGTGGTCTTCGATCTGACAGCAGGTGCGAAGCCACTCCAGCCCACCATTTCGCTCGTAAAAGTCCAACAAGGCTTTGAGGTCGCCGCAGACCTATTCTTACAGGAGAGAACTTTTCGGAGAGGAGGCCTGTAAAAAGAGGGAACCTGCGAGTTGGGGTCCTCAAGCTTCGGCTTTATCTCATGCCAGTTTCACATGACCAACGCTTGATCTGAACGTTTCACATGACCAAAACTCGAGGTGAACAAGTGAACCAAGCACAAATGACAAACCTGCATCCCTTGCAGAACATCATGCATGTTCTGTTGAAACAATATATAGGATCGCCTATATGATTCGGGCACCATGTCTCTCTGAGGAGCTCAGCCTCTGCCTTTGGAAAGTTGAAGAGCTTCTTCGGCAGGCAGACCGTGACCAGCTCCTCTGCACCACGCGCAGCAGTATGACGGCCAACGTGTCACATCTTTCAGTCTCCGAAAAGTGCAAGCTCGGCTCACGAGCGGAAAGGCGCGTGAGCTTCCCGGATTCTGGCATGGACGTCGCAAGTCCAGTCCAGCGACCTATCGACATGGCGCAATGGACATGAAGCCATAGCTGCCACGCAATCCGCCCACAAGAGCAAGCCCAGTTGGGCGTGACGATGATCGCAAACAGAGCGAATTCTGCCCGAAGAAGGCACTATCAAGGCACGATGCAACATCTCAAATGTCTAAGCCAACCGTCACCCATAACAGAAGCGTGCGAATTCTGCAGAGCATCACCACATGCGTCGTGACACGGCGTCGCGACCTGCTCTTTGTCGGGCCACCCAGCACTATGTCGCCAAGACCGGGCACCTCCAGGTCCAGACCTACAACAATCATCGGTCCTGTCCCCGCCGGACGAAACGGCGGTCAGTTCTGAGATTCAGATACCGCCAACGGTCCACAGACAGAGCACTAAGCACAGCGCTAAGCACTTCCTTCCGGCCGACCACAGCGCATCAAAACCAGGCAGCGCATGGATGGGGCGCGCGCGAGGAAGTGTGCATCTGTCTTTGGAGGATGGGATTGCCAGCTGTACCAGGAGGAGAAATCACAGAAAGAGACCTTTGTTGGGAAAGGACTGGAGGGGTGTTCCAAGGTTTGCTCTATTTCTGGATCTCGACTCATGACATCATGAGGACTCATCGTGACTCCCTATGACTCATCATGACAGAAAGTTGACATCCAATTCTTCAGTCAAGTGTGTGTGCGCGCCACTGCGTTTGGGCATCACGTTTGAAGACACAGCACTCCCCTCGAGTTTTTACCCCCCCTGGCACCTTGTCCAAACAAGATCTGAAGCTTTTCCCAGTACAAAAAGAACGGCTCAAAACACCCGGCGCTCCTTGGGGAGGGTCTTCACCCCTAGGCGCATGAAGACCAACTCCCACCACAGCCGTTGCTGCACCGAGGACGCGCCGCTAGGCGGTTCGCGCACCAGTCGGCCACGGGGAAAGGACTCACCCAGCTGTGGCTTGCAGCCTCCGCTCAATGCGGTTCCAAAGGGCTGGTCAAGAAGGCTTCCTATAAGACCCCAAATAAAATTCCATCTCTAAGACGAGTTTTGTCTTAGAAAAGATTTAAAAAGTAAGACAAAGTTGTCTAAGATGAATAAAAAAGGTTGTTGTAAGATGTTTCAAAAGAAAGAAAGTCAGACGAGAATTCTGAGAGTACCCAAACCATCGGAGACATAGAAGCCCACCATGGCATGGGGCAGTCTTGACCTGTCTTCCACTTCCGCTGAACATCCACTTGAACACTGAAGGCACAATTGACAGCAGTTGTGGGGCCTGTGCCTATGTTCTAATCGCTACAACCGCTCAAGTCCGAAAGTCACTGACCTAGCAGAGTGAGATACAGTGCTCTCGAATCTCTACAACCATCCAACATGGAGTCTTTCGCTGGAAAGGGACCTCTACAACCAGGACACCTATGTAGTCACCTGGATGGCGCATAGATTCGAGAAATGCGAGCAAGACTGATCCACTGACCACTTCAGCTTCGAAGTTTGGCTTGGCTATACATGGGTGTGACTATGGAAATAAGCGATTCTCCAGAGATGCTTTGTAGTGCAAGAGTAGGTGAAATGTCCTGCTCAGTGTGGTATCCTCATTTTGAGAGCTGTCTGGAGGCCTCAAGTGGTTAGGTGGATCTGGCGAGCTTTTGCATGCTTCTAGTGGCACGAAGCTAGCTGACTATGTAAACACGACCAGATTCGGCCGGGCGTCCTTCCCTCCCCACCTCCACCTTCGGCGCGCGGTGCGCGAACCGGACGGCGTCAGAACCCGCATTCGGACGCTTCGGACGGTCGCGGGCTTGGACCGCGCGGCCTATGACGTATGGGCAGCAGAGCTCGCGCGCATCGAGGAGCACGGAGCCGGTCGACTCCGGTACCAGGAGGCTTCCTCACTGGTGGAAGGGCGAGAATTGGTGGGAAGATCCACGATTTTGGAGATTTGCTTATAGACCCCATACCAATGACTTTTGGTCGAATAACGTTGACAACATTTACTCTTGTAGCGGCTCGGTCTCCCTATTTGAGCTACACCTCGAAATCGCTGTGGTGTGTCCATAAAATCAGGTCTCCTGGTGGGTCCATAGCGACCACCATGGCCCCTCGCAGGCGCTGCGGAGGCTCCGCGGCAGGTTCGATGAGGGGATGAGCAACGCGGGGATGGCGGAGGTCATCCGTCTCCATGTGTCTGATCTCGTATGTCGTGATCCCAAAACGTGAAGCCTTTTTTAAAAAGAAGAGAGTATATCTATTGCGGAGCTTTCGATCACATCATGGCCCTTTGAACTTGGCGCCACGATGGCTTGAAACTGACCTCATTGACCAGGCTCGTAGAAGCTCTTCCATCTGCTCAGGAGTCTGCTGCGAGAGCCAGGCATCAGCCGCAGTGCTGGTGAGGATGGCATCCCAGTGGCGTCCCAGGTAGGCCAAATTGGTCCAAGAGAAGCGCTCATCATCGGCCTCCGGAGAATTCGAACAAGAACCGCAGAAGCTGCCGGCGATGCAGAAGAGATAAAAACGAGTCTAACACTTCGGAAGCAACTGAAGGGGATCCAGCCTCTGTGGATTCCAGCCCGTGGACATACTCTATACAAATAGAGTAGATATTGAAAGTTAACTACATCGGTCCCGGATACTAAGTCTAGATCAGCAATTGAGGTACGCGTCGATCAGCATTGAGGAAGTGCATCGCTCGTACTTGCTTCTTCGAAAGCCCTCTACAAGTGAGTGACTGTGTGATATCAGTGAGCCTCAAACCAATAGTCAGACCTCCCAATATTTGGAATATAGGCCACCAAAGCCCCAATCCTTTGCGCACTCTGGCTTGGCCATTCAGAGCCCCATTCGGTGGCCGTCCAAAGTCGTTGACGTGTTCCCAGTTTCTGGGCCTTGCAGTCCCCGAAGCAAAAGGGATCCGAGGTTCAAGTCTAGGGATTCACCAAAGACTCGTTTCTTTTGAAGAGTTCCACCGCCTAGAACTGCCGTCTCTGATGCCATCGCTGGGGTGGAGCGACCGCGGTGAGACGTCCGTTGCGGCCGAGGTGCCACTGTGAGGCCCAAGGCCTCTTGCACGATGGCATAGGCCACGTCCCTGAAAAAAGAAAACAGCAGGGCTGCCACCGAAGCAGCCCTGTAAAGATGTATGCTACTGCTGATTCAGGCGAACCGAGATGAATCCAGCATCTGGGTGGACCAATCAAAGACACCTCCACAATGGGCCCTTTTGTCATGACCCATCTCAAGGATCTCGCAACCCTGTCACCCGTACGACCGAATCGGATCGCGGCCCCCTTGATTACCCAGAACCATTTTCCAAAAAAGCGCTAAACCCATCTAAACCCCCAATCCGATTCCCCACAGAGTTCGCTTCCCTCCCGCAGGCTCCGCGAGGGTCTCGCTTTGCAGGACCATTCGCCTGGGCGTTGCCTTCACCCCGCAGCCCATGAGCTTGAGGAGCTCCTGAAGCGTCGCACGGAGTCCAACCCGAAGCACGAAGGTGTTCCCGAATGGATCATTGAACAGAGGTTTAATGATCTCAAAAAAACACCCTACCAGGGTACCTATGGGATAGCCGAGTTCAGGTTCTTCAACCTCTGTTGGATGCTTCAAAGAACACGCACCGTCCTTGTCAGCGGGGCACGCATAGCTGGGATCCAAGACTTTCAGCAAGCCAGGCGGCGCCGTCTTCGGCACCGAGGAGAAGATGTGCCCATCCCCGCATGGGCCTTGAGACCGCCGCTTCGGAAAGCAGGTCAATCCCATTCGGTTCGGTTCCGGGGGTGTTGCCGCAAAGGTTTCCCGAAGCACACTGCTGGTGGTCGTTGAAGGCTTGAAAAATGGCACTCTCGATAGAGAGCTGCCTTTTCGGAGGTCAGTGCTGGCGGGAACACTCATTCTCCTTACTTCCAATATCTTCCAATGAACACGCACTCCCCACCGTCCAAAGTCCGAAGTCAAGACACGCCACGCTCTTCCCTTCGTCTTTGCCGCACCAGCCGCTTCACCCTCGACCTCCTCTCGCTCGGTGAGCACGAAGAGCGGCGCCCGTCGGAGCTCGCAGAGGTCCAGCTCGGCCGAGCGCTTCGCCAACGCACGCACCACCTCGGAGCGCGGGGAGCGGTGGAACGAAGAGGCGTAACAGGAGCTTACTGAGCTTTTTGGACACCGCCATTGTCCAGGTCTCAGGCGAGCTGATCCCAGATGTAGCCACACGAGAATTCGGGACCAAGCTGTAGCAAAAACAAAACAATTCACCGAGACTAAAGACTGACTGGCGCTTAGTGGGGAATGAGGGAATGAGCCCTCAATAGAGATTCCTTTGCATCTATTCCCTCATTCCTTACTGAACACAAATCAGAAGAAAGAAAAAACGAAAACACCACGTTTCTTCACCGGTTTTGGCCTGACCATGAGCACCATGAGTAGCGCCAATTCTTCCTGGCCACAGTCTTCCTCCAGGTCTCCCCTCGCTCCTCGAAGCACCTCTTTTGGAGTAGCTGCAGCAAGTCCTGCTTCTGGGCTTGATCTGGGCTGGATGCAAAAGGGAAAGGTATGAAACCCCCCAAATCAAGGTACTATAGTACTACTATAGACTATAGAATATGTGGTCCTTGAACCCTTTAAGAAGTCGGAAAGCCTTCCTTCGCCTTGTACGCCCAAAAATATCTCGAACGTCACTATCCTTGTCTCGAAAACCTGTGTAGAACGGCGCATCACCAAAGGTTGGAAGGGTGTCAATCAATATCACTCAAGCCCTGTGAGTACAGATGCACTCAAGAAAAACCACCCCAAGCGGCCAAAAGTCGAAGAAAACCCCACTCTCGCGCGCAGCGACGGATGACACATGCGCGGAGGGCGTCGGCGCCTTGCTGTTGAACTCTTCCAACCCTGGGTTGGCACCTGCCGACCGGGGACAGCGTGCTTTCATGCGCGCAGGAGATTACCTGGAAAATTACTCATTTACACGCTACATCAGATAGCAACAACGTTGAGAGCGCATCAAAAAGGAATAGGCGCGCCCTAGAAACTTAAACCCACATGATTTTGAACTGATTTAAATCCCTCGAATCCCTTCGAATACAATCGAACCCAATCACCTGCAGCCGTTCCAACCCGCTCCCTTTCGATAGCGACCCAAGAATGTTCAAAATCCCTTGGCAACCCTTTCAGAAAGGAAACTTGTTTTGGCCTTTTGTTGTAATTTGCTGGCTGCCATTCACTTTAATTGTGTTGCTTTCGGCGCCCTTGCTTGCGTTCAAATCTGAAAAATTGTACTTCTTGTCCCCAAAGAATGTTGGTTTTGGTCTTGCCAGGCAGGGTTTTACCACGAGGGTCTCATCCAAACTACCTTACGAGGATTTCTGCGAAAACATCTTTGAAGAATGACCGTTATTCGTCATCGCCTCCGAAAAACGGGACGGGCCAGCAAACGCCCAGGCTTCGCTAGATTCGCCACACCCAAAGATCCTGCGCTCAATCTTCCAGTTTCCGGACCGATCGAGGTCACCTGGGGGGAGCTGGGCCATGTACTCCTCGCTGGGGATGCCCAAGCCCAGCAGCTCCAGATCGGCTTCGAGGCCTTAAAGGGGATGGAAAGTTCCCAAGACCGTAAGACTGCAGCAGATCCAACAAGGCCGCGATGAACCGAAAAGACTTGATGAAACAAAGCAGCGCAGATTGAAGAAGCAAACCATTGGATTGCAAAATGAGACAGCCAAACGGATTCAAGACCAGGACCTTGAAAGTGATCTATAAATGACCTTGTGCAAGTTCAGGTGACCGCATCCTGGGGTCTCAAAGTGTTTGTGTAAACGTGCTGGTAGAAATTCTTATTTTTCTCGTGTGCTCTGGAGATGGCCCCTTCTGCATGTGGCTGAGCCCCGTGTGAAAAAGGAGCTCCTATCGTTTTCCACCAAAGAATGGCGCGTCAAACCAAAATGGTCCAGGAGACTCCCGACCAAGTCCGCATCCAAAAGAATTTCAAAATTATCACTATTTTAGCCCATGTGTCTTAAGTTTCTATTACAAATAAAGCTATCCGATAGAAAAAATTATTGACATGGCCTAAAAAATTTTCATCGTCACTCAAACAACTACCCCGCTCGAGTTCGGCTGTGGAGGGAGAACCCTGGGAGAGCGCCGCGGCTTTTCCGAGTGTGAACAGGCATGGGGTCGTTACAAGTCGAACTGAACGGTTGAAGAGAAAAGGATGGAAGGAAGTTTCTTCTCGAAGCCTTTTGGTGGGCCCTGTTCGAGCGACAGTGCTTCAAACCAGTTTGACAAGCTCGCTGATCAGCCACACAACTCTCAACTCACGGCCGACTGACACCCCCCTGCAACCGCTCGCCCAACAGGGTGGGCCAGGTTGGGAGGTCTTCCACGCGACTGTGCCAAAATGGCCTCAGCAGTCGTTATCTTAAGTGCAAACATCTGGCCCCCTCAATCAACCTTGCCGAGAGCGCCCCACCCCAGCTTTTGCCGAGTGTGACAGGCATGGGGTCGTTACAGCCGATCAGAACGGATCAAAGAGGCTTTTTTTGATTCTTCTCGAAGCCTCTTCGGGAGCCCTGTTCGCACTTGATCTTCAAATCCACCCAGGTAGGCGAGTTCTCCGTCATCGGAGGCCAGCGAAAGGGCTGGGAAGCCGCATGGCTGTCTCCCGACAGTGCGTCCCAGCGAGGGCAAGGGACACTTAGTGAGCAGCAGGTAGCTGAGCTGCATATGGTGACCTTGACTGCATCCAAAGCGCGCCATGAGAAGGCTGAAATGATACCCAATGAGGGGTCCGGCTTCACGTTCACAAAAGCGAGCGTGTTGGCGAGGACTTCGTCGATCAACCAACCTTCGAAAGGACTCTGGATACAAGTGCCTCCACGTTGTCTAAAATCAACATCGATCGTCATTCGCTTACCCTTGCTGGACCCGATCCGAGAGTGATGTCCGGGCAGGGTGGAATTCAATCGGGTTGTGAGTCTCCTGGAGCCATACTTCGCAACGAAAAGCCTGCAGCCACGGCAAGATGCCATGCTCTTGTTGCCTCCTCAGGCGCCGAGACTCTGTCACGTGGAGCCACTCAAAGGTTTGACCAGTGAAGGCACTGAGCTGATTGAACAGGTTGGCTGAGAGGGACTTGGCTCTGGGCTGGTTCTGCCGTGGGCCTACGATGCTAGAACTCTCTTCCTGGACTCGTCCACACCTCACCAAGCTGGCATCATCCCATCAAGTATAGACGCGTTGAAAACCTGACGCTGAGGCGGCTTGCCTTGTGGCATCTTTTGGCTTCACCACTGAATGAAAGCTGCCTTCAGCTGCCACGGCGCAATTCCACGCCTCGAGAACTGAACACGGAAAAAGATGTTCCTGGCGATTGTGCAAACTTTTCGCCAAAATGGCATCGAATGAAAATGAACGACCAAATCGAGCGATTTGGTTGAAAGCTCAAATCGAAAGTAGAAGACTCCAAGACCAACCTATTATTCCTTGTTGTTGCCTTTATTACAATTCATCTCTTATATGACTTATATGAATGGAAAGCAAAAGAAATTGCCATTGGATGTTTTGCTATATATGAAAAAATAAATGAAAAGAGACCATGAAGTAGAAACTGCCGATGGATGCTATTTGCCCAGCTCACGGATCGCTTCTAAGGGTGAATGTTCCTTACCATGGAATCTTCTCCAATATATATATATATATAGAAACCAATACTGTATTATTTTAGTACACAATGGATTCATGGAAAGATACTAACACAAAGAGATGCTACCAACACTCAACTTAAAAATATCTACATTATTACTTATTGGAAACATCAACCAACCAGTTCTCACTCATCTCCACACAAATCCTCATCCCTCCAATCCCTCCAATCATTCACCCCCAAGCAGCCGAGCTGGGCCAGCAGGGGTGACTCCGGCTTCCGGCACCGGCTCATCGGCAAGCGCAGCGGGCCGCCATTGCTGCAGACCCGGCCGCGCACGGGGACCAGGGGCAGTTCGCGCAGACCCGCAGCAACCCGCTGGAGGAAGGGGGCCCAGAAGCCTCTATTGGTCTCGCACGGGCGCGGTTGCACGCGCGCGGCCGCTGGGAGAATGGCGAAGTTGGGAGGAAAAAGATTGAGGTTTGTGACCAAGTCAAGACCCATGTTTTGTCAAGACCCATTTACTGTCCTACTCCCCCTTACCCCTCCGCTTCTACACACCGAGTAACGCTGTTGCCCCAGTTCAGCTCCAGGCTGCAGTAGCCAGGCGCGCGTGGCCAGAGCTTCCGAGCGCTCGACCGTCTTCAGCCTTAGCCGTTCGAGCCGGTCGTCGGCTTCGTTGGAGAAAGAATGAAGGTCATGAGTCATGAGCTATACTCACCGTGAATGATCAGATTCCTGCAGCACGTTCCAAAACCGCCATCGACCCTAGGTACTGTATACCTCAGGCAAAGAGGCTCATGACAAGCAACCCTTGGTCTGGGCGGGTCTTAGGTGATTAATGCTGGATCGCGAAAGCGCGACCCTTTCTTCGGCTGCGCATTGGAGATCCCAAGTTGGGCCTTTCTCGGCTGGTCGTCCCCAATAGGACAAGGACAGCTTGGCAAATGCAGACCAAGTCACCAAAGCTCAGCCAGCGAATCCCTGAGCGCTGCATTCTTCGAGCTGCCTTCCTGCAAGGCCTCTCCTGAGGCTTGGATCGATTCTGAGGGTCGGTCATCCCCATTCTTGGCAGACGATGAAAAAGGTTCAGACTCCTAGGAAATGAGGGAATGAGCCCTCCCTATCAGCCACCCTTATTTCTCACTGAGCATGTCATCCCTTCTTGCGCTGGTCTGCAGAAGTCTTGTCGTTGGAACCCTCCACCCTCGCCCCCGGACCGTCCCACCAGCAGAGATATCAACCGAACGGCGGTTGGCGGTCAGCTGGAAGGGCGCATTCAAAGGGGTCCGTAGCCCCACAAGGCTCCCAAGCGGCAAGGTGGCGGAGACCACGGCAGAGGTCAAGGCCGACCCAGTCATCGGGAAGGCGATTGAGACGTCACCGTTCGTGGGGAGTTGAGACACGTAGAAATCCTTGGAGGTAGTGAACACGTGAAAGAGTTGACCCGGTGACTGGAGTCTGAGGGGAGACTTGGATCTACTTGGAGACGTATTGGATCTATGCCTGCATCTTGAAAAGCTCCAATGAACATCGATACTCAGTCCTCTAGTCCGAAGTCCAAGTGGTGCCGGTGTTGGAGACCTTTTCGATCTATTTCATCTTCTGTCCATCAGTGGCAATTCAGTCAACCAGACTCCAAGAAGACTCTGGGTCAATCAAAGGATTGTAAACTCGCATTCTCCTGGAAACCTCCTCCATTCCTATCTCTAAGATGTCCTTCCAAATTCGCCAAAGAAACACGCGATCGACTTGATGGTCGACCGTTTTTGGGAGAGAAAACGGCATTTCTGTTTGGGCACTGGTTGGGCTTGCGATATTGCTGCACACCACCCACCTAGCCCAAACCCAAGGCTCTTGCGTCTCCACCTCTTGCCCCTCAGCTCCAGTGATGATGACACGCTGAAGCCCCTCCCGTCGATCACTCCCTGGGCACTGGAGCTGGTAACTGAACTTGCCCGCTTTCTCACTCTCCACAGTGATGCTCTGCAGCCGCCGAAGGAAAAGCAAGGTCGAGGGCATGAGGTCAGTGAGGAGATCTGGAAAGGCCTCGCGATGTCCGGCGCGGAACCGACGCTGAACCACTATTAACCACAAAGACACCTCTATGGCGTGCATCGTCCCAAGCTAAGCACCACCTATATAATCACTCCTGCGCGTCAGAATTGGCCCGTCAACCTCCCCAAAACCCCACGCCTTCCGGAAGGGCAAATAGATGGCCGTGCCCTCCATGGGTGGGGCGCGGGGAAGCCCAGCGCCACTCTCCAGAAGCTGAGGCGTCACCTGTTCGAGCGGCCGATCTCTGAGTTGGAACTTCGTCCACTCCACTCCGCGTCCTGCCAGAGTTGATGGTCCATCTATACCGGTTCTGGGCGGTCATCTTTCGTCATTCAGAAATGTCCAACCAGGCACGGACTAGTCCCACGCACTGAAGAGTGTGGTCGGATGTCCAGCTTTCTTGGACGCCTCTGCAGCTGCTGGCGTAGTCAGCAGCTGCATGTTGCTGCTTCGTTTCGTTTGGCATCCAGCACTGTACGCCATTCAGATTGCTGGTTAGCGAGTAAAGCTTCCTGAGAAAAAAACGAGTAAAGCTTCCTTGGAAATCCCAGAAAAGGTCAGCAACGATCTTCCCTCAATATGCCTTCAATTTTGGCGAGAACATAGAAACTGGCTGACAAAGACCCCCCATAAATGCCTTTGTACCGGAACGGCTGATAGATATGCTGAATAGATGCTCCTCACACTGACTGGAAGTTGCTAGAGGTTTCATGAGGTTTCTATGTTTCTCTCACATGAGAACTCCCATCAAAGACCTCCCACTCTGGCTGTTAAAAAAATCCCTTCAGAAACTGTTGTTTGGATCACACCCTTTCTCGTTTTGCGCCTGAGGAAGAGCACAGTCGTCATCTTCATCGAAGAAGAACCTGAGTCTCGGTGCCCAGGTCTCATCGACACCAGAGCCAGGAAAGGGAAAAGCGGTGTGGATTGACACCTTTCGGATTTGGGACAGTGGAGCTCGGCAAGCCCAAATCATATCCATTTTCCATCCATTTCCATCCATCGGACTGTTGGCAAAATCTCCTGAGGGTGTCGTTGAAAAAGAACAGAAGACCAAGCCAGCGAAAAAGTGAGGAAGGTGGGCGGGCCACTTGGCGTCCTAAACTCTTCAACTCCAACTAGCCTCTAAGAGTTGATTGGGGTGTCTGAAAACCAACGACGTCTTGGTAGAGTCAAGTTGCTGTGAACTGACCGCTGACGCGACGATCCTCCCACCGCTGATCGAACAAAAACCACGTGCGCCAGGCGGCTGGTAGGTGGAGAGCACATGGGGTTTCTTCGAGAGCACGAAAGAGGCTTTGAAACCAATGCCTTTGTACCCGGTCTGGTTGAGGCCCATGCCTGCGCGCGATTGCGCCTTTTCGCGCGCCAATATCGCTCGTGACTGGGCACACAGGAGCCAACAAGGACCCCACACTCAGCAGCCCGACAATCAGATGGGCTCACTATCTGGTATGTAAGTTATATATGTATATTCGATGAATCTCGTTCAACATGTGCCGACTGCAGCTACCCTTTTCCGCGAATCGATTCAAGTCTGTACTGTCTGTACTGAAGTGCTTTGGTTTGAAATGCGACCCACGTCGCTTGTGTCATCTGACATCTGACACTCTCCCTGTGGGAGCACTCCATCCGTATGTAGTGACCGAGAGGATACCGCAGGGGCGGTCCTACGGCCACAACGGATGCCAGCTTTGGACAGAGCAGATGAAAAGATTAAATGAAATTCCCTAGTCATCATCAATACCTGGGACCGGCAGAGCAGGTATGATGGCTAGGCAGCGGGCAGCCGAAAAAAAGGACAACCGGACGGCAGTGGCAGACAGCACAGTCCCAGTCGCACGTGGCCGGCAGCCCAGGCTGCAAGCGTCACAAGCAGAGCCATGGTAACTGAAAGGAACCCAGAAGACGGCCCTCAAGCACCAGCAAGGCCACAGGTGAAATGACTATCACCAGGAAATCAGACTCTTCCGGCAACAAGCCAAGTCAGCCACCAGCTCGACTAGCACCAGGTGGACATGAAAGTAACTAACAGGGTGTGGCAGGGTGGGAGAAAAAGTTTAGCTTGAGGTACCAGCAGCGACACTGCTCCTCAAGGGGCGTCTGGCCAGGCTTGAGCATTCAAACATTGGGAGACGTTGATTCGAAGCTTCCCAAATAATTCATCATCACCGACCCTGCCTACCTTAAATGATTGAATATATTCGATGAATCTCGTTCAACATGTGCCGACTGCAGCTACCCTTTTCCGCGAATCGATTCAAGTCTGTACTGTCTGTACTGAAGTGCTTTGGTTTGAAATGCGACCCACGTCGCTTGTGTCATCTGACATCTGACACTCTCCCTGTGGGAGCACTCCATCCAAGGCACTGACATCTCCAAAGCACTCAAACGAACTGAAAGACCTGAGCGATGAGGTGGTAGGGCAGCTGGAGGAGCATGAGCAGGGGGTAGGTGTGGAAGAGACGAAAGTCATGTTGTTGGAACCATGGGTCGTGTTCTCCCTGTCTGCTGATGCCATCTGACCAGTTGTCCTTGCTCTGGACCCATTCAAAGTAGCATGCACTACGGAGTGCAAACAGAAGGCCATGGATGGCCCCAGCCATAGAATCCAGCTCATCGTTGTTGCTGCGGCCTCGGATGAGAGCCATGAGGGCAGCGATGTTGTCAACAAACCATATACCATGCATCCCGCGAACTGATGAGGCATTATATGCCAGGCCCATGTAGACTGTCAGGAGCTCAAGCTGTGCAATCTTGGCCTCATGATGGGACCACACCGTGAAGATCTTCGGGCTGATGTGGACGACATAGGCCCTTCGGTTGCCACGGGGGTCAATGAACAAGACTCCCGCAGAGCCCTCGCGGGGCCGCTCTTGCGCTGCATCGGATGCCGCCAAGTAACGGTGTTGCCGTACTGGATTGAGCGGTAATTCTCTCTCAGGTTTCAACTGAAGTAGCGCTCGAATTCTAGCAAAGGACTGTTCAATCTCCGATGTCATCATGACTTGTGAGGAGTATTGTCTTTCCTTGATGCTGTGGAGGCCCGACCGGCCGAGCTTACCGAAGCATCCCGTCGTCAAGAATCCCAGGCAGCCAAAGAGCTTGGCCGCCAGTCCCGGAGGGAGGCGACGTGTCTGAGTGGCCTCCTCCATAATGTCGGTGACCTTGGTGAGCAATCGGTCACGGACCCAGAACTTGACAGGAGCACCCTGGTGGCAGGCTGCCACGTCGTGAATCAACCCCAGAAAATCAGACTGGGCCGCCAAGGACTGATGTTTCTCTGTTTGGAAGGGTGAGCCAAGGCATCGTGCGAGTTCATTGACGAAGGCCTGGCCAGTGCCGCCCATAATACCAAAGTCCTGGATTGTCAAGTCATCGAAGTACATACTGGTCATACAATAGGCCAGGCGGCGGCAGGCAGCTTGAAAGAAGCGGGGAAATCGATTGAACGAACATACAGCATTTGGTAACCCGAACAGAGAACCGTAGTATTGCCGAAAACGGGGGCCACCAACGTGGTGGTCGTAGTAAGCCACCACGGCCATGTTGCTATGTGTTGGCTTCATGGGGACATAGCGGTACGCGTTGGGTAGGTCTTCGCCCCCGGACCAAATACCAGCTTGCAACAACTCAGACACATGAGCGGAGGAGGAGGCTGCCTGCCAGAGCAATTGAACATGCAGGCCAGGTTGAATGCTCGTACATAAATCCAATTTGTTCGCATCAGAGCTGAGTGCGCTTTGCCCTCCGTCTGCCGCGTCATCTATGACTCGCAGTTTACCCGAGGGTTGTTGTATACAAAACCTTCGGATCAGTCTGAATTGAGGGAGTTCCTGGCATAGTTGGGCCCATGTCATTGGGGGCCACAAAAGCCTTTGGCTTGGTCCTCCTCACCCGCCTGGACAATAGCCGTGTCGTGTTCACCTGGACGGAGGCTTTGAATGATGCGGGCAGCCTCTGAGAGGGCGTCCTGGTAGATGGAGGCGTCCGGGATGTAGTGCGCTGGTTGAACCTTGTAGACCGGCACGTGCGGGGAAAAGCCCACGGCAGGGAAACCATATATCAGGTTGGCCATAAACGTAGTGTCGGGCCAGCCTATAATCAGCATGACAAGCCCAATCAGGGCGATGTGGCGCCCTTGAGTAGCTGATCGAACAGGTGGTGGCTGATAAGTTTGGAGGTGGTAGGTGATGGGCCACATTCGACGTCCCAGTTCTTGGAGCCAACGGCCTGTACGTCTCCTCACCTCACGCAGGCCCACTCCCTGGGCTGCATAGCCAGACGCGGCAAAGATCAAGTCATCATCGACAACACCCATAGTTTCAAATGGGGTGGGTCTCTGCTGCAACTCAAGGGCGAGTTCAAAATGTCGCTCCTCCCCTACGCCGAAGGGGATCATAGGTGGCAAGGCTTTAGCAGCAGCAGCCGCTCCGGGCTGCTGAAGGCCGCTCATAGCAATGGCGTTGCGCTCCAATGGGCCCACCAACCGTGGACCAAAGGCGTGTCCGTCCCAGTCAGGGCGGTTCTGCATGTAGTTGAGCCATTGGTAGTGCGAGTCATCCACTAGCAGGTCTTCGAGCATAGGCCACTGGAATCCCTCCCAACTGACATCTGGACAAAGCGCCATGAGGCTGGCCACCACAATTTCCTGAGAGAAACGCAGCGGGACTGCCCTGGCCGGGCGAATGCCGGCAGCTATGAGTGAAACCCGTCGCAACTGCTCCCTGGCGGGGTGGCCGTGGCCTGAGGTCGAAGTATGACGTGAAGTAGTCCAAACCAGAGCGCGAATAATATCCCCATGACAGAGTACGTTGTGTGGGCAGTCGCACACCAGAGTCTTGCCATGTAGGGATGAGAGGTCAGCCAGCAGATGGTCCTGGTCGGCAATCCATCTGGCGTAGTGAAGGACACTCTCAATAGCAGTCCTGCCTTCCCCTGTCCGGAAGGGGTTTTGCCATTGTGTCAGTGGCCAACGATGGGAGAAGTGCCCGGGGCCGATGTACACGTCGGTGTCTGTGAGTTGTGACCTCAGTTGTAACACATCGAATGCGACTTGGCGAGTGGGCACATGGGACGAGTCTTCTCGTGGTGGTGTAAGGCCCAGGTGGAAACCCATGACATTCATCAGATCTTCTCGCAGCTCGGACGGCTCGAAGTGGAGCAGTGGTCGTACGTCCCCTGAGGTGGTAATGGGCGGTAATCTTGGGATGGCGAGGATACCGTAGCCCTGTCGCACAGCCCATGCCGTGCAGCATACCGCTAGGACTCCGCTTCGTTGAAGGTGGAGAACTGCCCATTACCCGACGAGCGCCACTCGTTGGGGTCATGAATGTGTCCACATCGAACAGCCGGAAGGGAGGCTAACTCAGGGATGTTGTGGCGGAACTTTTGGGCTTTGCGCCGAGCGCCTCCGAAGACGCATGCATCGTAGTCCAGATCCTGCCAATCATCCTCCTGGCCGAGGTACTGCTCGATCGGGTCCCACCAGTGCAAAGACCTGAGCGGGTTCTCGCGAAGACATGCGATATGCTGTTGATGCCCCCAGTATTGTAAGGCCAACAGGTAATCACTGGAGTAGTTGTCAGCATCGACCCGTGCCTGTTGTCCTGCGTCCAGTCCTGGTAGACCCCGTGGGTATTCCTCAGATCGTAGAGGAGGGGGGCCGGGCCGTTTCTCCCTAGCTCTTGATTTGGTAGCGCAACTCATAGCGCCGGCAATAGTGGCTACCCGAGGAAGTACAGCCTGAATAGCCCGACGGACCGCCGGACGCGACACGTCCAGGTCCTGGTCGATCTCGATGTCAATCGGGGTGATGATCTCCCATTGGCACCACAAGAAGGCCTTGGACAACGGTGCATGGACGCCACTGAACACATCAAGGAGGACGGGGCAGGGTGAGGCTTCAGTCTGATGCATATCAATGGACTCCAACTCGGCCAAAAATGAACGGAAGTCATGAAAGACGGGAGTGTCCAAAGATTGGCCTCGCCCCCCCCCAACAGAGGAGCGGCCCTCTTTTCAAGCAGCCTTGGGGCATCCGGAAGGCGAGTGCTGGTACGATCCGCAGACCCGTCCTGATTGCAACACGACGCCGCAGCGATGTGCCCCACGTGGGCAGTTCTTCTTGGTGCGGCACTGGTTGCGCTGGTAGGCCTGACAAAGCTGCGTTCCATCACGAAGACTGGAGACCACCGACCCAACCGGCCCTGCGTCCGCAGGGGGGGCCTTGGCGGGCGAAGTGCCGCCAGCAGTGGTACCCGTGGTGATGCTGGGGGCTGGCAGGGCCCCGGCCAACCAAAGGGCGTCGCGCTCCCTCACGATGGCGTTGATGACATTGCCAAGTGTCGTGTGGCCCGTGCATCGGGCTGCCCACTGGCCGCGCTCCTCCACATCGAGGTGTTGGACCAACTGCAGGCGCCTCCCCTCCGAGGTGCGCAGAATCAAATCATGGCAGCGGCTGGCATAAGACAGCAGGACGTCGTAGGGAACCTGGACGTATTGCACACTGTCTGCACCGAGCGACTCAGGCGCAGACGGCGCCGGCTCCACGGGGCGACACCCCACAATAGCCAGGCTTAGCGGTGATCTCGTCCTCATCATCCTCTTGGAGATACAGGTTGCCCGTCAGGCGTCGCCGTTTCTGGCTATGTGTGCGCTGAAAGGTGAGTGAGCGGACCGTCCACAAATCCATGACCTCGAACTGGCTCCGTGTCAGCTGTCGGCTGAGCTTAGACAGGAGCCGGTCAGAAGGATACTGGCGAGGTTCTGCACGCAAGTGGTAGCGTCGAAAGAAAGCCTCTTTCAACTGTTCGAGCTCCTGTTTGGGAAGCAGCGTCTCTTCTTCCGTTGGCGCTGGAGGCAGGCTGGCCGCTGCGTGCTCAGAGTCCAGCAAGGCTTTGCACGCCGTCCAAGCGAAGCGCAGCCTAGCAGCCTGGAGGCGCCCTTGCATCTCCTCATAGGCTGGATCCTTGATCGTATCGATGAAGAGCTTCTTGATTTCATCCTCACTGCGAGCATAGTGGCGGAATTCTGCAATAGTGCGAATCCCCAACTCAATGATCTTGTCTTTGATGCGCTGCTCAAAGTTGAACTGCAGCGCAAGAGCTGTGAAGGTATCCTCCGGAGTAGCGAGCTGCTTAGGGACGGTGGCCATGATCCACAAAAGAAGATGGTGGGAGCAGCGAACACTGGAGAGCAAGGTGGCTGCGGAAAGTCATGGAAGCTACAATTGGACAGGGCATGCCAACATAAGCAACTCACAGCGGATAGCAAATGGAACACCGCACAGTGTCAACCCTTTTTCAAAAACTCAAAGTCGTTCATGGCATAACTACTGAAGCCGCTTCGCAAGCTCCCCGAGCTCCAAGCTCAGGCATTGCAGCGCTGGCCAACTGATAGCCTCGCTTGCCGCGTGGGCCTCGTAGTGGGCGGTATAGAGCAATTGACGGAACGATGCGCGATCGGCCTCATGAAGACGGTCATGGTGACGCGCCAAATCATCACATGTAGTGTGGACCAATGGGGCGTAGGGAGGCAGAGTACAGGTCTTGGGGCCGCCGGCCACAACAGCCCTTCCAGCCGAGGCTCTGGGCGTGCTGCCTCCCTGGGCAGGTCTTGGATCTCATCCCACCATTCGATCCATGATTCACATAGGTTACGCGCAGCACGTAACTGAGCCTGTACCACCCCTAGACAAGAGGTGGAGGTAGGGGGAAGGGCCCTCAAGGCCCGACAGGCCTGGTCCATTTGGTCCCCCACCTCCCAAGCACGGGCCCGTCTGGCCTCGCCCTCCAAGGGCGCCAGTGTCACGGCAACGAACTGGATCGCCTGAGGCCGGTCCATTGGCGCAGAGTATGGTCGTGTAGTCCGGAGTTCACTGGGATACGAGAAGCTGCAGCAAACATACAGAACTGACTATAAAATTTCGATCGACGTTCAAACTAGGGACCTACTCCTCGGGCCGGCGGCCGAGTCCCTATGATGCACAACTTGCATAGCACACGAGACGCCCTCTCGGCCTACCCGGTAGGCGTGCTGTTTCCGAAGAACTGCAGTTATTAGTACAGGTGGACCTGGTCATTGCCAGGGAGCACCGCTTTACATGTGATACAGAAATCACGCCCATAGGCCAAGGCCTCATGAATGCTGCGAGCTCAGTGGACTTCGCCTCGATAAGCAGCGTTGCGTTGGCGCCATCGACACCAGGGCGCATTGTCCCGCTCCACATGCCAGTGTGAGCCTGCTTTGGTGGAGGCAATGAAGGAAATCGGATACCTCGGCAGGGACGGTGGTGTGATGTTGACCTGGCTCCGTGCCCACTTGAATATATCAGAGCCGCCCCGCCGGCTGAGCACACCGGCTCGGTCGATAGCCCGCAATCCCTCCAGCCGGGAATACGCTTCCTCGAAGGAGCACCGCCTGATCCATGCGAGTAGCAACCCAGCCAGCACGGGGGCCCTGTGCACCCCCGCCATGCAATGAATCAGGACGGAGTAGCCAGAATACAAAGTTGCCAGGAAGATAGGCAGCACCGATTTCAACTGGCGGTCACGGAGGGCTCCTTGATGACCAACAGGAACATTGAATTGGTAGACCTGGCGAGCGCTGACCCCTCCCCGACAGTCGGCGGCAATCTTGTCCATAGCGCTGAGGCTGATGCCGATGTGGTGGGTCTCCAACCAGGCCCGGTCCGTGGGCAGGCCGCCCAAATAGATAGAGCCGTTGCCTGCTTCACCCAGGAAGATGAGCGTAGGAGGCCCTGGGGCACCGCTGTGCCCGGGCCGGCGCCAGCGGTCCCGTGCTGCTGCATCAAAGGCCGCGTCATTCGCCTCCTGCAGGTGCTGAGGCCGCTCCGGCGACGGGTGCAGCACGGAGGGCATGGCCTTGACTTTAGGGGTCGAAGGTGGCGTGCTCGAAGGGCCTGCTGCTGCCGAAGATGAAGATGCCCGAGGTGAAGTCGATGGCAAAGGTGGAGGTGCCCGCAAAGGTGGAATAGATGCCGAAGCTGATGAGGGCGAAACCACGGGCAGCACAGGTGGCACCTTTGGTGGAGGTGCCTTGGGCGGTGTCACCGGTTGGGCGCTACCTCCAGCAGCAGCCCTGGGTGGCGGCTCCACCCGTGCCCGCTTCGCCGGCCGCGAAGGACTGGTGAACGAGAATGTTGACACCGTGTTCCTCGGCCCCTGTGTGGGCTCGGGCACCGGGCCGGCAGCCGCGGATGGGGCCGGGCGCTTCCGCCTGAGCGCTGCAGTGAGGCGTTGACCAGTAGCTCGGATGATCTGGACCTGGGCCGGCAGCAAGGTCTTGACCACAGGCATGCCAGGGATGGAGTCCGTAGAGACCCGGCGGATCTGGGGGTCCGAAGCAAGGAGCTCGTCAGCCTCCTCCATGCAAGTGGACCATCGTGCAGATGCATAGCCTGTCGGCAGTTCGTCCCACAAAGCCATGTTGAGGTCCTGGAAGAAGTGCAAACCGGCCAGGCGTAACTGATGTCCCAGGCGTTGTTTCCGCGAGTCATATCGCAGAGGGGTGGTCGCCGTAGACTTGGAGGACTGATCCACCCATTGTCCAAGGGCAAGTCGCTCCGTCTCTGATAACCCCACATACCCTGCCAAAGTCGGAAGCACTCGGCGGAACGAGTAGGACGAGAGACTGGTAACGTCCATAGCCGCACTCAGATATGGTCGTAGGATCCGGACACATTGCGCTGTACCCACCGGCTGGGATGTAGCTGAGTCGAACCCCAACCAATGCCAGCGCCTGAAGCCGGCGCCTGTTCTGGGGCGCACTTTGTTCAAATGGGCACCCAGCACTTGTAGAAGATCCAATGTGCCACAATACCTCGGAACGCTCCAGGTGAAGCCACCACGACTGCCAGTCTTACCTTTCGTGCACCAGAACACGAGGATGCCCCCGTTACCGCCGACCAAGTAGCTCCGTTGTAAATGGGTGTACCTGACCACACCAAAACATAGGGCGTAGGCACAAAACACCATGGGCCAGTGAGGATTGTCAACGGTGGACTCCAAGGTACCCAGGAGGTGGATGACCATGGATGGCTCCAAAGTCGCCGCCTGCGCCTGCCCCTGGCCGAGGCGAGATCCCAAACCAGCCCGAGGTTTCACCACTTCGGAGAGGTCGAATGGCAACTTGAGGTTGCGGACGATCCATCCCAGGGCAGTATATACCCTTGTAGGTGACTTGTGCTCCCGAATGAAGGTGGCCAGGAGGTGTTTGTCCGGGATACCTCCACCTGCGGCCGCGATGGCCCCTTGAAGCTCTTGCCACGTGTGCAAAGCCCGCTTCACAGTGGCGGCCTCAGCCTTCTGGAGCACATGAGTGAGCTTGGCCTCGAAGTTGGCGGTGATCTCAGCCAAGCGAGCCGCCGGCGGGGGCTCGACCGCCAGCAGAATGGCCATCAACTGGGGCAGAAAGGACAGGGCACCGCCGTCAGGGCCGCCCGACTGACGGCCCTGGGTGCTGGGCCTGACTGGCCCCGCAAATGATGGGGTAGGTCGTGGCCTCAACGGTGGAGATGTGGTAGGCCGCGGCGCAGCTTGCGAAACTTGTTCACGACGGACAATATCCCGCACCAGGGCCCCCATGCCGACCTCCGTCTCGCGGCGTGCCTGGTCCCAGGCCTCTGCCACGGCGCGGCCTTGCTTCAGCGCTTCTTCGTAGGAAACGAAGTAAAACGCCAGATCGGATGGCCGCTCAATGCCATGCGAGGCGCACCACCGCTCCAGCTTCTGCTGTTCAGCAGAGCGGCGGACCTGGGCATCAGCGCTCTCCATGGCGGCAAAAACCGGGAAGAAAAAGTTTAGCTTGAGGTACCAGCAGCGACACTGCTCCTCAAGGGGCGTCTCCCCAGTTTGGCTTGAGCATTCAAACATTGGGAGACGTTGATTCGAAGCTTCCCAAATAATTCATCATCACCGACCCTGCCTACCTTAAATGATTGAATATGAATGCACTTCCGCAGCTTCAAGACGGGGTCCATCACTTTGAGGGGGGCATCGGCATCATGACCCCGTGGCGCGCTCTACAGATCTTTACAGATCTAAACCAGCAACAACCGACTGACCCGCAGAATCTTCGCCTTTTGTGGAGGTGCCCAGGCTGCAAAGGGCCTCCACATCTTGAAATGAGAAGCCCACCTCCGCCGGCTATTCGATCAGGCAGATGCGATCGAGGAAGACTGTTTGGTCCAAGCTCATGAGCATTCTGTGGTGAGAAAAATGTAAGAAACACACGTGAATGTTAAGAGGTACAGTATTCTTGGATCACGACGGATACTCACTTGCAACGATTTTTGACAGGTTCAGATTAGCCTGGAGCTGCAGTCTGCGGGACAAATAAAACTGGTAGAGGACCCTCTAGTGCTTGCTCAACAGTATAGCATGTTCGTGCTTTTTCCAATCCCTCACCTACAGCACTCCAAGAGCATCGACTTCTTCAGTCTTCCACCCAACCACCGTCCGACCCGGCCGTCGGATCCGGCACCTCGTTGTATTCCAACCACAGATACTCGGCCGCATGCGCGACCTTGAGCGCTGGAGCACTTCCATAGCTGCAGTCATCTGCGTTCTGAAGCAACTCCCAGAAGGCACGGCTGGGGCCGCTGTACATCTCCTCGTGACCGGGTGTGTGCGGGCGAAGTCTCGCGCGTTCTGAGTTGCCCCTGTTGAAAGGTCGACCTGCGGTTCACACCGTGGCAACCGGCTTCTCACAGACCTCGAGCCACGCTCCACCTCTTTGGGAGCAAGAGGAATCCCGACCTGTGCTCCACCTGACCGGGCTGTGCCTGCTTTTGAGGAAGGGACGCTGCCGCATGGAGGATGAAAGCACTCCATGTCAAGCAAAACTCCTGGAAAAAACAGTTGTTGGGTCCTTTTCCACAATCTCCCTCTCCTCTTGTTCAGCCCACACATCCCAAAAAATCACAGCCCTGTTCCACGTACCGGAAAAAAAAGACCCTTGGAAATCCAGTGACCGTCGCAGCTAAGCCTCACTGGACATGAGTTTCAGAGAGTTCCTCAGCATGCTGGCAGCATGGCTCGGCAGCGCGGAGCGTAAGCGGCGGCTCAGCTGCTGCAACTCCTCCACTGGTCGAGCTGAGCCTTCGGAGAGCGCCGGGCTTTGAGAAGCCAAAGGCCGAACAGACCGGTCGACGTTTCGAATCGAAGCGATGGAGGGACCCTTGGCGTCGTCATCTTCACGTCATCTGGGAAAAAAGTCGTCTTTCGAACAGGATCAGGTGACAAGTATGTGTTTTCTTGCGCGACTTCTGTTTTCAGTGACACTTCCGGTTTTTCCTGGCAGTCTGGCAGGTAGAAAAAGAAAGTAAAAACCACCCGCCCCCCTCGCGCAAAACTTACCTGACTGCTGCTTGTAGACGTTCAAGATCCTTGAAGCATCCTCCTCACCACGCTGAGCGTCCATCTGCGCGTCACACGCTGCACCGGTGTCCGGTGGCTCCACCTCGTCATCGGTGGAGATGGTTCACCGAGGAACAGTGGCGAGAAGCCCCTGGGGGGGTCCCCGCGCGAAGAACGGAGGGACTGAAGACTGCGGACATAAGATCAGGAGCATGCGGCATGGCATAACACGTAAATCCATTGGATTCCTTAGAAATAGACTCTGACAGTTCGGAGGAATTTTCTACAAAAGGAACTCTGACAATCCAGCACCAATCAAATACCTTCTTGCTTCATGTATCCTGCGCTGTCATTTTTCTGGGCATCGAGTTAACGGGCCAAGGAAAGTCTAGTTGAGTCTTTAGTCTTTAGATGTCTTTAAAGAAACACTTTCCTTTCAAAAACCTTTCTCAGTCTCTATGTCTATGTCTTGCCGATTCGCACAATATCGTCTGGATGGGACCTGCATCCATAGTACCCATTACTTAATTGCGGAAGACCTGTAATTTATTTGCAGGTAGACCGCATCCCCTGCGTTTTCTGCTTCCCTGACGTCTGCCCCTTCCCACCTGACGCCGCAGCTGCGCCAACTCCTCCGAAAGCTTCTCGTTGGCCGCCTGGAGCATCAATGAGCGACGTCTGTCTGTCCGAACTAGACGACCCGTCTCGCTAGAGGACCAGAGCGTGTGGACGCCAGGAGGCGGCTTTCCGAAAGTCCCAAGAAACAAAAAAAATGCCAAAACCTCAAGACACTCCTTCTGAACATGCAGCGAAAGAAGAAACATGCAGTGAACTCACTGGCCTCCAGGTTTTCCCTGTCCTTCCTCGAGTTTTGCAGCTCCGCCTGCACCTTGGGTGGAACATCCACCCCGTGCAATCTGCGGGTCTTACCCGGTCAGCGAGCCAAGTACTCTGTTTGGGGCTACAGAAACTCTATTGCTTTGTAACTATCCACGAAGAAGTACGGTGGAGTCTGAATTGTTCACTGGATGCCGCCCATTCTCAACCTTTTTCTTCGACAGAAGCTGAACGTATATATTCTTCTAAAGAGCACACACCAATTCTCCTTGAGGAGATGCAACACAGGCTGGAAGATGAATCGAAAGGAGGAGTGGTGCCCTCAAATAGTATGGACTTTGGACTCAGTCGTGCTCCTTTCGAATCCTTCAAAGCCAGAAAGAGACGTGTACACGGCACATACGCATATATATATATATGTATATATAACTATATATTATACATTTATGATATGAAAACGTCGTCTCATGTTTTCAAACATACCCGGACATACCGTCTTCTCCCTGACCTGCTGCAGCTGCTCTTGCATCAACTCTTGCGCCTCCGACCCCAGCAACCGAAAACGGAGCGACCGAGATGTTCTCCGAGCCCTCCCCGACCCCGCCATGAGATTGGCCAGTCCTTTTCAGAAATTCTCAGCGCGAAATATATACATATATATGAGTGGTTTTTGGGGTGGTTGAATGAGGTCAGAGTCACGATAGGTCTCATGGAATGGGGAGACGGACCAAGTCAACCGATCGCCCAGGTGTTGGCACGGGAGTGACCCCGCATGAATCAAACAAGATAGACATCAGCAAGCCCACGGAGATGTGAAAGACGTGGAGTCTTAGAAGGAAGCTCTGTCCACACTTGTAGTGGGCTCAGATTGTTTTAGTGACTGCATGAACGCATGAATGTTCATCCCCCCTTTTAGATCTGTTTCTCCGCGCGACGTGTTCTCCCCCGCCTGGTTCCTCGCAAGGATCTCAAGACCCCGGCCCTGCTGCTGAGCCGCACGCCGCGACCGTTGCAGCCGCGTGGCGCGCCGCAAACTCTCCACCAAGACCTGGCCCGGGCGCATCGTTGAAAGAGGCGCAGGCGACCCTGAAGGAACACTATGGCCCCATGGGCTTCTGCAACAAGAGATCCAGTCGTTGGAGATCTACACTCATGGAGCTGGAGAAGGATCTTGGCGATCTGTAGACCTGGCTGGTCTCTCAAAAGACTGTCCCGCCAAAAGCCCGAAGGTCTGCAGAAAATGTAGCGGGGTAATGACAGTGTGGCAGTGGTAGAGTGGTAGTGATATGGCAGCGTGGCAATGTGCACCAGGCGCTGTGCCTGCCACGAAGTCTCGCACTTCGACGTTCACAAGTGCTGCACCTGCCATGAAATCTGCACATCAAGATTCACAGCACGCAGTCCCTGCCAAGGCGCTTCAAAAAGCTGCCGTAGTCGCCCGACACTTCCCCGAGCTCTGAAAACGAGCCACGTGTCCAAAGCTCACGATTCACTGCGCCTGCCACGTAATCACAGCGCATCACCGTGTCCAAAGTGCTGGGCCTGACCACCGCCAAAAATGTGTACGGCATCACAATGAGAGCGCAGTCGACGAAAACACCACTTGCGGACCAGTAGTTTCTACAAGCCTGCGCAGTTGAAATGCACTTCGAAGATCTCGAGAGGCATGAATGTAGTGCAAATAGCAGCGGCTTAGCCGCACACGCCGATGAGCACCACCGATGGAACACCCGGCCTTGACTTTTAGCGTAAGAACCCCTAGTTTGACCACTGTTTGGAAAAAAGAACTGGCGTGGAAAAGACACCTAAGGGAGTTCCGTATTCCCATGTTGACCAGTGATAGTTCACCTATAAGCCACTCTGGCCATTGATGCTGCAGAAGCAGTGTGCATACTGGCCACATTTGAGCCTTCCTGAATCATGTTCAGCACAACTTTGCTTTCAGGCAGATGTGGAAAACTTCCATGCTTCTTTCCGGCTGTATGTAATGGTTAATGATCCTTCAAATAAACACCCACTGTTCCCGAACATGGAAGTTTTTCTGCCAAACAAAAAAACATTAAACTATACCTCCTCTTCCCAAGTGAAGGATCCAGCTTCCCTGGCTTTTCCTGGCGCCACAAGAGGAACGACTTCCCGCACGGACCATCTGCCGATGAAGTCCGGCACGCCTGGCAGGCGATGCGATGGACCTCCTCCGCGGGCAGCGTGGAAAGATCTCCCGGCACCTCGACGCCCGTCTTCGGGGTCGATAAAAATCGGTCTGTGGGGAACGGGATCCGTGTCTGCTTTTTCTCCGACTGGTCCATGGGCCCATGGGGTCAAAGAAGGATCCGAGATCTGCGCGAGGTGGTGTGAATTCTTGGTGTGTGCGTGTGTTTGTGTGTGACCCTTGGAATCAAAGGGAACCTTTAGGTTTGGAACAGGGGGCGCGACGGTCGATTTCCTAGTTACGCCAATTCCGTACCTGTTCCGCTATTTAGGAAAACAGGAGGAAATGGTACTCGACACATTTGTGTGTCGGTGCCTTTCCTTCTGTTTTCCTCTCCAAACTTTGTAAGGCGTTCTTTAACCTGAACTTTGGCCTCCACCCAGTAGATTGGCCCCCAACTTGCTGTCTTGCGCTTCTTGTGCTTTTGTGCTTCTTGTAACCTTGTAGCACCGGCCTCCAACTTGGTACCCTGGCCTCCACCCACTAGCAAGGACCTCCAACTTTGACTGTCTTGTGTTTTTTTTGTGCTTTTGTAACCTGGTAGCGCTGGCCTCCAACTTGGTACCCTGGCCTCCAACCTACTAGCGATTTGCTGTCACTTTGTGCTTTTGTAACCTGGTACCGCGCCTCCAACTTGGTACCCTGGCCTCCAACCTACTAGCGATGACCTCCAACTTTGCTTTTGCTGTCACTTTGTGTCTATGGTCCACCGTCTACTAGCGATGGCCTCCAACCTTAGGTCTTGGCCCCCAACAGCCTTGCGTTGACCTCCAACCCAAAACCGTTGGCCTTTAACCTACTATTTCCTGACACCTCAGGCCTTTTAACTAACCTAGGCTGGCGCGTGGCACCGCTGTCAAGTCAGTACGCATATCCATAAGTGTGTCTGGCCTCGCGCCAGTCCGGGATGAGCCCGTAGAGTGCCTCCCGTGGACCCGTCGAACGGGTGTCTGTCCGTGTTCCCCCGGCTTTGGGAACGTAGGTGTCCGCAGCGGACAGTAGCTGGCTCATGCCACCAGACCTCAAATTTTGTCTCATTTTTGGAATTCCAAGTTGGCTTATGCCTTCACGTGACCGCAGCGGTCAAAGCAGCCAGCCACTTTGGCAGGGCACAAGGTGACCATAGCGGTCAAAGCACGTTTAAGGTTCATTGGAACCTGTCGAGCACTTAGTCCCCCCTCCTCCCCCTTCCCTTCCCCTTTCTTTCTTTGCTTTCTGGGGTTTTCCTGAATGGAATACTCAGGATCTCCCCTCCCCCCTCTTTCCTCGCGCGCGGCGTGTTTACAAGCAAACTAGGCTTCTGCAACAGGTTTTTCTAATGAGGTTTGGGTTGTCATCGGTTTGTCCCCGTTCATTTGGTTCCCCTTTCATCGGCCCCACAGACGTTTTTTCCTTCTTTTCTTTCATGTCTTTCTGTCTTCATGTCTCTTCATCCTCATCCTTTCTTTCTCTTGCGCGTACTATCGTCCGGACCTTAGTTTGCACACATACACGCACGCGTACTCTACTTACAACGAGGTTCAGGTGGCCCAGGTTCGTTCCAAGAGGTTTGGTTCATCGGTTGTCCCTCTTCACTTGGTTCTTCTTCGTCGGCAACCACACACACACCTTTGTCTTTCTCGTCCTTTTCATTTTCATCTGTCCCTTTTGCGTGCACATGTGCCTTGCCTCCTTTCCGGGCAGGATGGAGGCCACACACGCCTCCCTTCGGGGAGGCATGTGTGTGTGTGTAACCCTTGGAATCAAAGGGAACCATTAGATTTGGAACAGGGGGCGTGACGGTCGATTTCCTAGTCACGCCAATGAAGCTATGGAAGTCGACTGGATGGAAGTTTGGACGCAAACTTCCGTGCCTGTTCCGCTGTTTAGGAAAACAGGAGGAAATGGTACTCGACACACTTGCGTGTCGGCGCCTTTCCTTCTGTTTTCCTCTAGGCTACTCTGCAGGTTTGCAGGTGAACTTTGGCCTCCACCCACTAGATTGGCCCCCAACTTGCTGTCTTGTGCTTCTTGTGCCTTTGTGCTTCTTGTAACCTTGTAGCACTGGCCTCCAACTTGGTACCCTGGCCTCCACCCCTAGCAAGGACCTCCAACTTTGACTGTCTTGTGTTTTTTCTTGCGCTTTTGTAACCTGGTAGCGCTGGCCTCCAACTTGGTACCCTGGCCTCCAACCTACTAGCGATGACCTCCAACTTTGCTTTTGCTGTCACTTTGTGCTTTTGTAACCTGGTACCGCGCCTCCAACTTGGTACCCTGGCCTCCAACCTACTAGCGGTGACCTCCAACTTTGCTTTTGCTGTCACTTTGTGTCTATGGTCCACCGTCTACTAGCGATGGCCTCCAACCTTAGGTCTTGGCCCCGAACAGCCTTGCGTTGACCTCCAACCCAAATCCGTTGGCCTTTAACCTACTATTTCCTGACACCTCAGGCCTTTTAACTAACCTAGGCTGGCGTGTGGCACCGCTGTCAAGTCAGTACGCATATCCATAAGTGTGTGTGTGTGTTCTTCGTGGTGTGAGCTGTCGGTTCCAAAAGTTCTGACACGAAGACAATAGAGCACAAGATCCCGATTTCAGGGCCTGAAGACAATGCTCCACAAGATCCTAGAACATCCCTGGCGCAAGGGCGCAATTTCTTTTTTCTTGGAGCCCTCCAGGTGAGAAGCTTCTGTGTGGTCTCTGATGGAGGCTTCTACTGCAACTATGGAAAAATGGCAGACAACGGAACACATAAACAAGCACACACAACAGCAGGAAGGAAGGAAGCCCAACCAACCAATTTGGAGGGACAGCCAGACGGATTGACTGATTGATCAAACATCTATATTTTTCTTCATCCTTCATCCGCGCCTCAGCATTCTTCATCAAGGCCTCGAGGCCTTGCTTCAGATTGGACTTCTTTTTCTCCTCGCTGGTGCCCTTCTCCGGAAGCCTTATGGAAGCCTGCGCCCACATCGAAGGCTTGCAGCTTTTCCAGGGCGGCTCAAGGGCGGTTCTCCAAAGTTCCGGACCCCCAGCATCACTGACCTTTTCGACCAACTAGGCAAACAGCTATGGGCTTGAGACACCGAAAATGGATCCTCTGCAGAGAACCTGCTTGTGGAGTCTGCTGAAATGAGAGGCCCAGCATGTTCCAAGCTTCCGCGACCTGTCCCTCGCCCCCCCCCGACCTGGTGCAAATGAAAGGGCGCCGCCCACGAGAGGCGGGCGGAGCCGGCGACGTCGGCCACGATCTTCAAGGGAAGGTGTGACTTGCTGGTGTGGCCTGACCGGCGAAGCTCTGCACGGAGCACAGTCGATGTTGGGAGGTGGTTGGGAGGGCTTCTTGCCCGTGGGGCGAGACGAAACGCGGGAGAATTCCGCAGTGTAGCTTGCCTTCATCCTTCCGACCGCTTTTCTTGTTTAAAAAATGTTAAAAAGTTCCCAAGCTGGGCAGCACTCACATCTCCAAACTCAGCCTCGCCTAGAAGGTAGGGTCCATAGATCTGCCATTTGGAGTGCAGGAAGAGGAACCTCCGCTCCAAGTCCACACGCACGCCCAACCTGGGTATCTTGAAGTCGACCCAGGTTGACGCGACTTTTAAAGCGACACCGACGTGGAAAGGGCTCAGTTGGGTTGGGGCA